AAGTTACAATTTATAAAACTCAATATTATTTGATTATTAAAATTTTAATTGATTATCAATTAATATCCAACGAGCAGACTTTCGAAGCTTTTAAAGACTTTTGACAGTTTTAATAAAACATCATTAGAATTTGTAAATTTAAAATTAAATCAGAAAAACCGTTAAGCAAAAATTCGAAAAAATTCATTTTTCTGATTCGTAGCCAACTTCACTTCTATTATTAACATTTAGAATTTCTGAACAAACTCATTAAGGAAGAACATAAACAAAAGTTTTGAGAGATTTTTTTTAAGTTTTTAATGTATTTATCAGTTGTAAAATGTTCAAAAGCAGATCCTGATGCTTAATGTCAGTCAAAATTTATAAGTTTGGTGCAGAATTCAAGAAAAAAGATTAATAAATTAGTTAAAAACTGTGAAGAAGCTTAAGAACTTTAACTTTTAGGAATCTAAGAAGAAAAGGAGAATTTTAGCAATTAAAGTCCATTTAGAGAACTAGAACTAGATTTCAAAGATCATAAAATTGGTAAAAACAGTCAAAATAATGCTAAAATTGAGCAATTAGACATAAATTTTAATTAATTTCCTTTAATTTTAGTTAAATCAACTTAATTGCACCCAAAATCGTGTGTAGCGTGCGGTTTACATCAACAAACATTACTCAATCATCCGAACCACATTCTAAATCAACAACCAAACCCCAGCCATGTCAGAGTCACCAGAACAGCCAACCAAAAAGCGTCGATTCTCGTCCCGTTCTTCGCACTTCTCAAACCCAAACCAAACAGAATTTTTCTTCAACACAAGCATAAAGCAAGAACCAGAGTTGCAAGACGACACAAAAGAAGAAATTATTGGAATTTTTGGAACTGTCGATGACTGCTATTGTCGTGTCTGCTTCAAAATATTCTCAGTTAATGATTCCAGGAATGAAATTGACATGGGAGTGATGTCAATGCTTAGAGAAATTTTACAGCTTGGCTTAAAACTGTCAAATGGATCACAGTGGATTTGTGAATCGTGCACCACAAAAGTCAATTCATTTTGGACATACAAGTATGATGTCATAGACAAGCAAGCTAAGTTTTCAGCTTTAGTGCTGAAAAATTTACATCGTGATGTTGAGGAGATCCAGAATCTCAATAACAATTTGAACCTTAGTGACGTCCAGGTTGATGTTTTTGTTAAATCTGAACCAGACTATTCAGCTCCAGACTTTAATGAAGATCCTTCGGATGGTCAACGAAAGAGAATCAAGACAAATAGAGCAACACCGAAGAAATACAAGAAACGGAAAGTACCGCAGACTTGTGATGTGTGTGGAAAGGAGGCACTGAACCTTCTGAATCATAAGATTAAGAAGCATGGACATAAACATCTATTTGAGTGCAATTACTGCACATTTTCGAGTTATGAGAAGAAGAAGCTTCAATATCACATTCAAAATTCGCATATTAAGCCTAAAAAGAAGAGTGATCCTGATCAGGATGAGTCGTAAGTTACTTTTTTGGCTTAAAGTCACCAGACTTTTGACAATTTTAATTCAAATTGACCAATAATCGTGTGTTGTGCACCACTTTTAACCACAATACCATAGCTAGACCAATAGTCGTGTAGATTCCACCATTTTTAACCATTTTTTTCTCACTTCCAGCCAAGTCTGTCCGCACTGTGCCAAACAAGTTCGTCATCTAGACGAGCACATAGCGAACATCCATTGCGGCGAACGTAACTACTTTTGTGATCTCTGCACATTCTCATCGTTTCGGAAGAAGCCAATTGAACAGCATATGATGAATGTTCATCTACCAAAGTCTGTCAAGTGCTCTCTATGTGACTTTATAACAATTAATATAGATAGATTGAGAAAACATATAAGGAATCAGCATGAAGTTAGGGAAAGAACAACAGAATATACTTGTCATGTTCCTGATTGCAACAAAGTGTTTAGAAACAAATTTAATCTGCAATGTCATGTAAAGCGATGTCACGAAGGAGAAGTGAAGTTTTTGTGCGATGCTCCGGGATGTAACAAGTCATTCTTCTCAAAGAGTGAGCAGAGGATTCATTATGAAAATTCACATGGTAAGTTGGTGTGTCTATAGTTGTGGGGAATGTGCGGTTTGTGAATTTATGATCACAATAGTGTCTAAAGTGGTGTTCAATGTACGGTTCTTGAACAAATTTATTTTTTGTGACTAAAGTCGTGTGTTACACACGGTTTTTGTACCAAATTTCATACTAATGTCTTCGAATAGTCTAAAGTTTCAAAAGTCATGCAAATCGTGCATTTTTTGACACAATTTGAATTAAAAATCAATCTTATTAAGGGGTCATTCACTTAAGACGTCCATAAAAAAATGATTTTTATAGCCCCGCTACCCCATCTATCACAGATGCCCCTTATGACGTCCAATCATAGTTTTCGTGCAAAATTGAATGTCATCAACCCTCAGTCACTGACCCCCCGCCCCTCCCCTGTCATAATGTGCCACAAAATTCTAGACCTCCCTCTCCCTTAAATCTCAGATGTCATTAGTGTATGACCCCTTATTCAAAAATTGGCAATCGATGCTAATAAACTTTTGTTGATCCATTTTTTGGCACAACATCACCACCTTCATACCTTATCTCATTCCATGCTCTTTCCAAAAATCTATTACATAACCTTAAAACTTACATAAAATTTTCTCAATATTCACAGGTCCAAAAACAGTCGTGTGTGAAGAATGTGGCAGTTCCTTCTCATCAGCAGCTATGCTCCGTAAGCACAGCTCACTCCATCGAGAATATCAACATCCATGCACCTATCCAAATTGTGGTCTCAAATATCGAACAGCGACACAGCTCAAAAATCACGTCAATCGAATCCATTTGGAGCGTCGCGAGTATGACTGTAAAGAATGCAATTCAGCATTTTTTACAATGCGCGACCTCGACCGTCATATTATATCGAAACATTTGGGTATCAAATTCGTTTGTGAAGTGCCCGGATGTAATTCGACGCTGTCACGAAGGGATGCATATTTGAGTCATTTGAAAAGTCACAGTGGATTGAGTGAGGAAGAAAGACGAGAGCTGGTGTCTAAGTTAAATGAATTTTGTATGCAGTTGAATTTGAAGAGATAAGGCTGAGTGGAGAGTTAAGGGGATGATGTGTAAAAGGTTGGAAGGTTGATGATGAGAAACGAACTGAAGTTTTTGATGAAGTTTGAAGGATACAATAAAGGGGACTTTGAACTAAGTTGGGGTGTGATTTTGAAAGGTTTTTGAATCCAATCGAGCTGAACTTTTAGTGGTTTATAACTTAAACTGGGGTGAATACTAGGAGGGTCTCTAAACCCTATTGAGCTGAATTTTTGTCCTTACTAGTAACGATTTGAAGAAAATCTTTTAGAGATTTTCATGGTTTGGAGGTTCATTCATCCAATAGGTCCAATAGGGCTGAAATATTTACAACTTATTTTAAATGATCAATTTGAAGTAATTTTTTTGAATCCGTTGAAAGTTTTTAATCATTATAAAACGTTTTACAACTCGAATGGGTAATGACTTAAGCGGTTCTGTCTCCAATCGGGCTGATTGATTAAAATATCTTAAATTACATCAAATGTGAATCTTAAGCAGTTTTTTATAACCATTCAGACTGAATTCGTTTAAATACATAAAAAAATTAATATGGGCGAAAAATTGAAAGGTTGTCTTCGCCAATCGAGCTGAAAATCATAAAAATTTCAGCATTAAACCAAGCGATGACTAAAAATCACTTCATCAACAAATGTAATGCGTAAATAATTAAAACAAAAAACCGTCAAATTCCCCTCACGCAGATGGAACTCAAATAAACTGAAAGACATCAACACACGAGAAAAAAAAGAACGCGTAATAATAGTTTACGTACATCTATCCTTTTACATGCTAGATATTTTTTCTTCTTTATTATTTCTTTGTTTAGTTTGTAACAAGAAAAAAATTATTGCACTTAAAATAAATAATAAAAAAAATGTTAAACTTAACTCAACTTAACTTTATTTTACACCAAATTTGAACATATTTTTTTTCACAAAGATCTTTATTGTCAGCACAGCATAGTTTAATCTAATGCAACATCAATTTCCGCCCTCCGCCTCCACTGAGATTCAATCATTTTTTTATAATAAATTTCGTAAGAATATTCTTCGAACCATGCGAGCGAGAATGTGAAGGCAAATGATGATGCGAACAAGCTGACTGCTGTAATTGCCTTCATCTTGTTCTGTGTCCGGGGTGATCGGTTGCCTCAATTATCCAAATTATCCATTTACTTCTTCCACCAATTTTCGTGACTTGTCGACTTCAATTTAATTTGACAAAAAAATAATAACGACTTCTCTGTGACTACTCGAAGTTCCGAAGTGCAACTGAAAAAGATTCTCAAAAAATACTAAATAACAAATAGAATTCACTAATACAGACACAAAATGATTTGAATGTGTGAGTGAAAATGCACAAATATTCTTATATTGACCTGAATTTTCACTCAATTTACACTCTCGATGCATGTGCATGTGCCTGACCTAGAGATTATTATTACGGAAGCATTGCTCGTGACATTGAAAAGTGCGAGGGAAATAAAGTTTATGGCTTGCAATCCTAGACGGTTGCGCAAATGGATGGAAGGTATAAGCAGAGTTGCAGGTAGAATTGTGATTTTGAGGTCCCAAATGTTGGAAATCAAATAAGATAATAATGACTGATAAGTTTTGAGGTCGAGCAAAGCAAGGCAAAGCAATATTTTTTGTAGAATTACGAAATTGAAAGAAACTCAAACTCAAAGAATTAGTAAAATGGAACGTGACCTGGAAATAACCTTAATCACCATCAAAATTGAGTTGCTGATCACATCTCACTCTGCTTACAGGCTATAAGGATCAATAGCTCTTAATTGTTGTCAGACGATAGTCAAGGTTTTGTTGATATTGGTTTCTTTACAACTATTAATAAATCACTTACCTTTTGTATCCAAATTTTGCGAAACTTTTAAATAAAATTTAAATCACAACAACAACGATGAAAAAAAGTCAAAAGTTTCTAAGTTATTAATTTTCACACAAAGCTGCATTTTTTCTCATGCATGCTCGAAAAATGCAACCACAAAAATAATTGTCGTGACTTATAATTTATGAGCATTGCTGCTTACATGTGTCATTTTCTAATTGTGCTCGATTCTACTGATACCCGAGCAGCACACAAAGGCAAATATTATTATTTACTGTCAAAAAGGAGTGATGTTGTGATCATTACATCCTTGTGGCTGTGTGTAATTTGATTTGGTAGTTGTTCCTAGATCCGAGTCTGCAAGACCTATGGTTCTTGCTTTTAGCATTAGTCTTACATCGTCCTTGCATTGACTTTTTAAAGCCCTTCATCATAACATACTCAAGTCGCGAACAATTTTCATCTAAACACTGAAGCAGACCCACCAGAGCAGTAGTTCTCAAACTATATGCCGTGAATAAAATTGATTGGTAAAATTTGCCTTATATTTTTACGTTTAATGACTTCAAAAAGTTCATAAAAACTATTTAGTGTCTCAGAGACTATTCAGATGTGCCGCAAAAATTTTTGTGTAAAAAAATGTGCCGTGGACCAAAAAAGTTTGAGAAAAACTTCACTACAGTCTAGGGTCAGAGTCAATTATTACAAAATACTCTTAAGTTAATCTTTTCTACGAATGTGACTAGGTTCAATGCAGGGTTCATCAGGTCGTTAGATGTGCTCGTGTCTTTGTAATGTGCAGAGCTTGCGAATGGTTTGGATTCCACTATAGACTGTAGGTATAAAGGGAACATCAGTGCAATAGATTTACAATCGCAGCGTTTTCAGCTCAAAAAGAGATCATTCAATGAATTCAAAAACCTAATGCAACTCAATTTTCTCATTGTGGTGTCTTCTTTTCAAAAACTAATGGATGTGTTACTCGGTAGAATCACATATAATTTACAGGAACTAGAAAACTAATTGTTTTGTGATTGCTTCTGTAAACTAAATGAACATTAAACTAATGTTAAATGAAATGATTTTTGAATGAACTTTTTGTGTCAAAAAGTTATCGATCAACTGTTGTCTGATCTAATTGGAGAATTGTGTTTTATTTTCGAAAATTGTAAATGAAATTTTGTTGATTAAAATTGATTTGATTTTTATAAAATGATTTTTAAAGTGTTGCAATAACTGATGATAGAATATAGTCATAAATTGATCATGATTAAAGTGTTTTATAAGTTTAACGACCTTAAATTGAAACAATATTTGAGAAAAATTTGACTTCGTTTGATTGCTTTTGAATGTTTACATCTGATTAGGGTTTTTTGTGGCTAGATGGGATACATTAATACTGTATAAATTGATTAATAACATAAAGTGTAGGAAATTAACTTAAATTCCAGAAAAGAAGCTCGGTTTACTTTAGAAACTGGCCAAAGAGTTTAAATTCGACTTAAATTGGCTCGACATTGACTTGAAATAAACCGGATGTCTATAAGTTTTTGCCGATTTTTTGTCAATAAGAGGGTCATGTCCCGAATTCAGCTCAAAAAAAGCGGTCAAATCAAATTTTTAAGTATTTTTCAAGAATAATTGGTTCAAAAAACAGGTTCAAAAGTGCGTAGTTGAACAGCCTCAAAATAACTTGACCGGTAAAACAACTTCAATTGACTCAAATTTGAGTCAAAATGATTTAATTTGAAGCTCTGATTTAGTCATTTTATCTTTTCTGATGGTAAACGTTGGAAAACAAAGGTCTACTCTGGCTATCATCAGTATTGCTTGTAGTTTTATCAATTGAGCGGTGATAAATGAGCTGATTCTGGATTTTGCATTCTTTAATGTCTAGATTTCTACAATATTGAGCCTCTTTGAAACAAAACTATTTACGAACAATTATCAAAACTTCTAATCATTTTTAAAAACTACAAACTCAATATTTCAATACAAATTAATCACAAATTCTCACAGCCAACCTTGAGCCAGACTCACATTCTCATAATTATTCAGAAATAAATTGTTTACAATTGTTTGTCATTATTTTGTCAATTAAACCATGAGAAATTAAATAAATAATTAAACTTTTCATTTATGCCCTCCGATTCAAATTATTGCATCTCTTCCTCAATTATTCATCCGTTGTCGCATTTTTCAATTTACATTCAGCATGCACGATGAAAAGAAAAACTAGTTCAAAGCTCTCAAGCGTGACAAATGTGAAAACATTTTCTAAAGTTTTTTTTGCTGTGTTTTGATGAAAGGATGGATGACTTTGGTGGGGGAGAAGGGATATGACCGGAATTTTGCTTTGTTCTTGGGAAATTTAAAAAAAAGTTTTGAAAATTTCTTTAAAATCGGGCAAAAAAATTTCAAACCAAATTCGAAGTTCCACAAAATCAGATAAAATTTAGACAAAAAAATATCAAAATATGTAAGAACTCAAAAAGGTCCAAAAACTACAAAAACCTTATCAAAAACTGCATCTCACTATCCACACAACTAGATAATAAAAAACATTTATAATAACAAACATTGTGTACACAAAATTTAAAATTGAGTAAATATTAACACAAGTCAGAGAGTAAGAACATGTTTACTCACATCAGTGTTAACATTTACTCATAACTATTCATCTATGAGAAGTCATCACATTGCATCTAAACAAAAACATTAGATCGCAAACACAGCTGCTTACCAATACAAATGAAAGTCACTAACACAACTGCAGATTAAATACATGCAGAAGAATTCAAGAATAAGACACTAAGATGAGAACTCAGGTGCACAGTCATTCCTTAATGATGGATTAATTTGTGGATTTTTTAGGCAACATTTTTCGAGTTTTAAGATTTTTTTTTGTACATTTTGTAGTTTTTTAAAGTTTCAGGCATTCAATTTGCCTTTTGTCACTTAATTATTGTTTTAATTAAGGATTTTGTTTTATTTGATTTTTAATTTGATTTATTCGGCGTTTTGTGATCGAGTTTTAAGACAGTCGTAAATATATTTCTTGATTTATTTATTTTGAGACCTGGTTTTTGCAACTTTTATCTGATTTCATAGCTTGAGTAACAAAAACTGAGATTGATAAGCAATTAAGTATTAGAATTTCCGTCTGTTGATAACCTTAGGTACCTAATGTTGAACTAAACTCCTCATAAGATTCCTAAAAAACCAAAAAAAAAGCAGGTAAACTGTTTGAACAAAATTGCACAACTTTTGCATATAAATTTGCGAAAATTCAAATTTCAAATTCATAATTCAACTAAAAGTTGGACAATCACAATGGAAAACTTACCAAGTGAAATTTTGCTGCATATTTTCGATCTGTTGGATTCTGAAACGCTTAGAAATGTTGCAGTTCTTTGTTCAAGGTAAGATTTCAAGTTTTTTTTTAATTTATATTTTAAGCTTACTAGCTTGATGAGCTTGATTCACAGTGATTCTAATTATCAGACTTGCTAAGAATCTTGAATTTTTTCAAAAATTCTAAGTTACATCAAATAACACGAAAAGCACCAATCTGTTAATCGATCAGAAATCCGGCACCAAGCTGCTGTGACTCTGCCTTGATTTAAGCCGGATTTCTATTCGAATAGCTGATTTGTGCTATTCGGGACAATGCTATTGTCACTGCAGCTTCAATTATCCGATTTCATTACCAATTCTTTCCAATTTTTCCAGATTTCAATCCCTCATTCACAACAGCAACCACATCATGGCCAAATTCCGTGCCTGCATCAACTTATCAAACCTTAATATTGCAAAGAAAACTTTATCAGACATGCCGTACCGGAAGTTTGATATATTTGCATCGAGCTACTTCACCCGCATGTCACTGGGACGATTTGAAGGCAAAATTAATTCAATCATTGGTCAGCACACAGAAAATATTGAAAATCTCCGGCTTTATGACTCAACGACTGGATTAGCATCAAAAATTTTAGTAAATTTGGAAAACTTAACACATTTGTGCATTGAGAGGATTCAAAAGTCGTTAATTGAGGAAGACGACGCGTTATTTTCAATAACTTTACCAAATTTGAAGATTCTTGAAGTCGATGGAGTTGATTCGTACTTAAAATGCCTTAGATGCCCAAAAATTGAGACTCTTATTTACAGAAATGTCGACAGTCCTATGACAAACCAAAATGCAGTCAGTCGATCGCTCAACAATTTCTTCAAACGATCACGTACCCTCAAAGACTTTACAATGTTTGGTGCTGTACCGAATTTTGAGACTGAAAAATTTGAATTTAAATTACAAAAATTAAAATTCACAAATTATGCGACAAATGTTGATGAAACTGAGGACAGTCCAATGATGAAGCTGCTTAAATCACAAAAGGACAACATCAGAGACTTGACAGTGACTGAATATGTCACACAAGACATCCTCGGAATCGCCATAAATGAGATGAAAAATCTGGAAAAATTAAAACTTGATTTGGATAAAATTTTTGCTGAACCGAGAAATTTGAGGATGAATTTTAAGCTGAAGAAGCTTGAGATCATAAATTTACCAAATTTTCATGAACATGTCTTGAAGATCATCAAGAACTGCCCGAATGTTGAAATATTGAAATTTTTATGCTTCATTCCAGGCATGGTTCTAAGCGACGTGTCAAGTTCTATGAAAAATTTACAAATTCTAACCTTTGAATCAACTGAAAATGTAGACCTAAGTAAAATCGCCTTCAACAACCTTAAAAAACTGTCAATTTGGGAACTGAGCAATCAAGATCAATTAATAACCATCTTCAGAGTTTGCAGTGCGTCAGCGAACTTAACAGAATTGGAGATTGTGAACATTACTTATGAATTGACATCTGTGGAGGTCGACATCCTTATTAAAATTTGCAAAAATGTCGAAATTTTAAAGCTTCATGGACACATGGACTACGATGATCCTATAAATATGGTTTTTTATGGCAATCAGACAAAATTGAGGCTTCTTGTGCTTGACATTTTTGTAGATGAAGAAAGACTTGAACTTGTTCAGATGCTGCATGACACTAAAATCCAGTGCATCGTTCCTGATGCAGTAAATGCATATCGATATTATACTGACAAGCGTGGACCATCATGTGACTATTTGGATCAAATAAGTGTTGACGATTTGGAATCTGAATCCAGTGACGATGATTCTGAAGATTTGAGTTCTGAAAGGTCTGAAAATTCTGATGGATGTCCTGAAAGTGAAGATTTCTCTGACTTTTATGACCAAAACTTGACTAGTTGTGATGAGAATTTCAGTGACTGTTCAAATACAGACACTTCATGTTCGCAATGCTGCAATGGATCTATCGGGTTTGAAAGAGCTTTTAGGGGTATAAATGGATACGAAGGAGAGCAAGTAGTCCCTAACAATTCGAGAAATGATCAGTTATTCCCCAGAGTCGCTGAATATGACCAAGAATTGTCTAACAACGAAAACCACATCTCCAGCACTTTAACAAGTTATTTCTCAAAATTATTATATCAAAAACCTGAAATATCCTACTTCAAACAGCTACAACATCCAGTTCATGACGTGGGAAACAGTATTTACTATGGAATGCATATGAATCTAACACTTTACTACTTTGATGTTATTTTTCCACAAATCAAAGCTTCCAGCTGCCCAACGAGTTATCCTAAAGTTGAAGTTCCAGAACGACTAGATAATGAGAACCCAAATCATCGAAAGCGACTTGTTTATGATCCAGATAATGATTTGTACTTTATGATGAATATAAACATAGCTTATCATCATTTTAACAATCATTTTGGAGAGAAAGAAGATCCAAATGCATGGAAATTCCGTTATTACTCGAAAAGATTAAGACGGGAAGTTCAGATTATGGAAGTTGATCAAAATTTAGCAAATACTGCTGAACAAGTGGGATTAAACAATGAATTGAGCAATGCTGAGGATGAAGAAGGAGATGTTGAAATGGAAATTGATGCAGATGATGAGCAAGAAATCGGAGAGGATTACCAAGAAGATTCTCAAGTTTCAGAATCGGATGATGAATCTCAGGAAGGATTTTCAAGCAGTAATAACCAAGAATCTTCACCTCGTAGTCAATTTCAAATCATTCAAATTGAAAGTCTTTTCGACATGTCTGATGAAAATGATGATTTAGGTAGCAATCAGGATCCTTCAACAAACAACGATGAAAGTGATCAAAACTCTTCAAATTCAGAAGATCCGCTACACATAGATGATCAACAAAACTTATCAAGTCAGGATGAAAACTCGGATTCTTCATCAATCAGTGAAGGTGACATGCAGGTTGAGATTGCTATTCATAAGAGACCAAGGGAAGATGACGAGGGGATCAGCAGCGAAGAAGACATTTTTATTGAAATTATTGAGGGAAAGAAAAAGATCAGAAAAACTTGTTAAGTCGCTAAAAATCACATTTTATTTTATATGCGTTACTGAAAAATAAAAAAAAATTTTTAAAGTTTAATTGATGTTTTTGTTAATTTATTTAAATTTATATGATTTATGTCAGCGTTGTTCAAACTTTTTAGGCCACGGCACATCTTAATGGGGTGCCGTGACTGTAGTCAAACACACAGGGGCGTAGCCAGAAAATTTTTAAGGGGGGGCCCATTTTCGAAAATTAAAAAACCGTTATTTTGTATTCTTAAATTTATATTCATTCTTCATAAGTTTAAATATTTAATTCATTATTCATACATTAAATTTAATTTTTCGTGCTGATTTTGACATTTCTTTCATCACTTCCTCTACATTAACTCTCTATATATACCAGAGCTGCGAAACAGGCACCTGTGACAGGTGAAAACCCTACAATTCCTTGATAATTTATAAGGTTTTCCTAACAAAACCATACAAATTATCAAGGAATTGAAAGGTTCTCACCTGTCACAGGTGACCTGTTTCGCAACTCTGATATATACTTAATAAACGAATTGTCAGATTTTCGTAGGGGGGGCCCGGGCCCCCTATGGCCCCCCCTGGCTACGCCCCTGCAAACACAGCATGCGGCTTGTTCGTCATTTTCGAGAAAATTTGCACGGCACACTAGTGTACAGCGGCACACAGTTTGCGCAACACTGATTTAGATCAATATCTGCAATCTGGAGAGTGCCCAGCTTTTTGAGCTGGAGGCACTGCGATTCGAATTAGAACAGAATCATTTGTACCACACCCTTTAGAGTCTAAAGTTTAGACCTACAGTTTATAGTGGAATCCAAACCACATGAAAATGTGCAAGAATTTTTTTTCACAATATCACAGTTTATGCATCAAAAAACACGATCTTCTGCAATTTATTAGGGATTCTGAAGATAAAAATCTCAACAAACACATCAATATGTTTCTGTCCACACAAAAAAATTCAAATGCTCCTTCAAAAAAATTATGGATGTGCTCCTGGATGGCACATTAAATTGTATAGGTTTGATCTTGAAAATTTCAATAACTAGGCAGTAAATTTAGGAACACGATACCAATTTTTTATCGTAAAACAAATCAAATAGCATAAGCATAGTCAGCAGGGTTGTGGCTTATTATTATCTAAAATTTTTGACTATACTAAAGCCTTTAAAAACTCTGGTTTAATTTAAAACGTGACGCACAATTATTGTGGTTAGAATTATGCTTTGAGTCATTCTAATTTCTAGATTTCTGAATTTCGGAGTTCATTCTTAAATGATGTTTATTAAAAAATTGAATTTTAGAGCCTTCTCCATTTTCATCAGTTATTTAGGGAGCTATTGCTCTTTTACAGTGATGGCAAACCCGTGTGCCGCGAAAAAAATTGATATATCTCACGAATCATATGCAGTTATATCCATGGCTTTCCATTAGATGTGCCATGTCACAAAAAAGGTTGTGCACCACTGCTCTACTATAAAGGAAAAAATAATTAATAATCGCTTATGATAAAAAAATAAACTTATCTATTTTTAAAAAAATTAGTATCGCGGTCTCTATAATTATAATCTTCTTTAAACCCACAAAATATGACTTCTTATTCTTTATCTGCACACAAACCCTAGCTCAGATTTTTAATTTTCTCTCATTTATTGAGAGAACCTTTTTTAATTTTGAGCATTTTGAGCAAAATATCTCATTTATTGACGATAATGAGTCAGTTTCTCTCACATGTGTTGCTGTGTTTACATCATTTTTGATAGACTTGCGGAAATATTTGCGCAAAAAGTGAGAGTCAGAAGTAATTATTTAATAATATTTGGTACCTGTTGCACTATTCTTGATTTGTTTATGATTTTTAAGATTCTGCTGTGCAAATAGTTTGTGGAATTGTATAAAAATGATTTGATTCTGAGGAAAGATATCAATTGAGTTAAAAGTGTCGTATAAGGAAGAGTAAAAAGAACAAATAATAATAAAAAGTGACGAATAAAAGTAAAAGATCCCCGAAAACTCGAAACAAACGTTGGGATAAATATTGAAGATAGCCGAAACTTTGACAACAGTGTAATTTTAATAACCGAATGATCGACAAACAGCATAAAAACCTTATTATTTGACAATTTTAAACCGTCTAAGTGCCAAAAGTTTAACATACATAACCTCAAATTTAAAAAAGTGCCAAATAACCTCAAAAGTTCGAGAGCCAGTCATCTGCAGTTCAAAAAATCAACTTGAACCTCAATATCACCACTAAAAAGTGTCATAACCTCAAAAATTATCCCAAAAAACATTAAATAACCTCAAAAATGTCATCAACACAAGAAACAGTCAACAAAAGCATCTCAGTCGACGACATGCTAGACGAAATTCCAGAACCACCAATAATCAACCACCAGCACCAAATAAATAATGACAAAATCTCAGATTCTGATGACTCTTTCAAATCAATTGAAAATTTCGTGCCAATCAAACTGAAATTCATCAAAAAGTTTGCAAAAGTGTCTGGAAAAATAGCCAAAGATGATCTTGAAGAGCTTTTGCTGCTAAAAGTAACAGAGTCGATGGTCTACAGAACCAAGTATGCTGAAATTCGAGTTAAACTTGACATTTATGAAGATTTAATGCAAAGACAAAGAACTCGACTTGAATTACTTGAAAAGCAATACGCAGACTTGCAAGTGACACATGAAAGAATTTTAACAGCAATGCGAGAGAATCCACAAGCTCCAATTGAGCCATTAAAGATTGTCAGAGCTGTGAGTTGTCAAGTTTATCAACAATCAGCTGAATATGTCAACACTGATCCAATTGTTATTGGAGATTCTCCAAAGAAAAAGAGGACAAGGAGGAGAATTAATGAAAACCTGACTGAAAAGGGCAAAAAAGAAAGAAATGATAAAGTGGGAATCGATTCTAGTGATGAGCATGAAGAGAATAATAGAAAAGTGACAAGATCAAGTGAAAGAAAACAGGATAAATCGAAAGAAAACAAGAGTTTTGAAGACAGATCGTCAAATAAACAGATTAATGATGACAAGCTCAATCAGACTGGAAGCTCAACTAAAAATACATCAAACTCTTCAGAAAAAGAACTTGAATCCAATAAAAAACAAACAAAGACTGCTGATCAAAATTCATCAAGATCCAAGAACAATAAGACAACAGATTCTCAAAAGTCATCAAAAAGCAATCAAAATCCTGAAGAAAATGAGCTTAACTCTTCAAACTTCGACAAAGTTTTAACATTCAGTGAAAGCAATCAAGCCCAAATACCCAACAACCGTGGAACAAAACGAAAAGCAACAACAATTTTGGAAATGTTTGAAAAGAAAGCTAAGAACTCTACTGAAGATACAAAGGATTCAGCCAACAATCAAAAATCCAAGACTTCTAAGGAAAATAAATCTAAAAATAGATCAAGATCTTCACAAGAATCAGATTCTGACAATGATGTGACCCTAATTGAAGATGATGAAGACAAACCAAAGACAAAAAGACAACAAACTTTGAAATTTTCGTCCGAACTTGACTTTGAACTGCCAAGAGCTCTTAAAAAATTAGCAAAAGCAACGAAACTTATTGAGTCAAGTGCAAAGACAACTGATAACAAATTAGAATCAAAAACTGACAACATAACATCAAAATCAAAGAAGACTGACGAGAAATCAATTAACATAACCTCAAAAATTGACAAACTAACCTCAAACATTAGTAAAAATACAAAGAATGATGACAAAACTGTAAAGCAAAGCAATCTAACCTCAAAATCAGGTTCATCATCACCTGATTCAAACATCAGATCACCAGAAAGTGTCTTGTCATCGTCACCAGAACCAGAACATTCCATCCCAGTTCAAAAGAGCTTCAAAGTTCCAACGACAAAACCAAAAGCTATTCGACCTGGTCCGAAATGTTCCAAATTGTCAAATCAAATTGTTGGAACTGGAAAATTAGAAGCTGGAGATTCAATACCTCAAGAATCAAGTTCATTGCTCGAAGTATCTAACAAGCTTCTTAATGGATCAAATCGTTTTGAAAACAACTTCAAAAATCCACAAAATATGGCTAGAAACTTACAAAATGGCGGTTCCAATTTATACAAGAACGTGAATTACCCATCAAGTGCCACAAAAATCCCACCAAGTCCTTTTGACTCAGCGAAAAAGTCATCAAACTTCGATCAATCTTTCGACTCTCTCAATTTCTCATCCTGTAGTTCACTAGACACATTGAGCTCATTCAAATCTTCGGCTAATTTAGTCACATCAACGCCATTAAAGGCAGTCGATCAAGGTCAAGCTAAGACGGTCAAGAGAACACTGGACATGAATTTCAATGAAAATTCATCTAGCAAAGTTCCTAAACTTCCAACTAGAGGACCACAGTTGATTCATCCAAGCTTAAAGCAATCGATTCCAGCACCGACAATAAAAGTTGAAAAAGTCAATAACGGAATCAGAATAAGTTGGAGAATTGATAATTTTAAGGCATCCGATCACGCAGACGTTCAAAGTTATCAGATTTATGCTTATGAGGAAATGCCTGGAAGTGCTAAAATAAGCACTGACGATTGGAAGCTAGTTGGTGATGTCAAGGCATTACTGCTTCCGATGGCTGTAACTTTGAGGGAATTTAATGAAAATCAGAAGTTCCATTTCGCAATCAGAGCTGTTGATGTTCATAAGCGACTTGGTGAGTTCAGTGAACCGAAGTCTTGGGAATGAATTTGAGGTTTTAAGAATGAATTGCTGTAAATAAAATAAAATCTTGACAATAAAAGTTTAAAATTCAAAAAAAAAATAGGAACTTATTAATTTTAACTTCCCGAATGAACATTGTTAACAGATTCAGCATAGGTCACAGTTTAACGGCAATAAACTCACCTTGAACTGACTTCAAGGCCAAAATTATCATAAATTTCTGACTAAACTTCTTCTTTTTTGGTCACATTATGTCTTTAGTCATGAAAAACGTTGTGAAATATTTTTGATAGGATATTAATAAAAGGATAAAGGTGTAGAGTTGGCAGGCATGGATACTTACTCTTCTTTCATTGTTTGTTCAAACATTCTGGTCAGGATACAGACAGTAGTCTTATGTTTTGATTTTAAACAAGCATGTTGGTAATATGAGGGTATTCTTGTGAAGCTATGGCATAACTGAGAGAATTCTTACCTAGTAGGGCATGCTTAAGTAAGGAACCTGCCCCACGAGCTTATAAATTGCTAAAATCATCGATTCTTAACCCGAATAGCACAAGTCAATTAACCGAATATGAAGCCAGCGCCAAGCTGGATTGACTTTGGCATGGTGCTGACTTCGATTTAAATCCAGCACCTTGCCAGTGTCACACCGGCTTTGTACCGTATTTCTGATCGATTAACCGATTTGTCACTAGTAAGTCAGCCTAGAACCACAAATGACATAAAAATAAAATGATTCTGTCGCCGGCATGAATTTGAGTATTTTTATCCTTTTCCTTTGAATTATGTAAGGGGCTGTTCACTTATTACGTAACGCGAAAAAATTACTTCTTAGACCCCCCCCCCTCGTAACAAAATTTGTATGAAAAAAAAAATTCCTTGTTTGAACCGTAACAAAATCTTAGACCCCCCTCCCCCTAAAAGCGTTACGTAATAAGTGAATGGCCCCTAAATGAATTTAGGAAAAAATGGAAAATCTTATTCAACATTCACGCTCACGCAAGCCAACAATCAGTCATGTTTTCTTAAGAAAAATTAATAAAATTACGTGGAATAAAATTAAACGGACGAAAGAAAATTTTGCAGAATTTTATTTATTAGAGTTGTCTATAAAACTTACTGAAAGATACTGCATTTTACTATGTTGTTATCCTTCGTCTTAAAAATCATGCTTATCACGTTGTTCTCCCCTTGAGAAATTGGCACTTCTGCATCTTCAGCTTGTGAGTCATTTGTAATTCAACAAAACAGCTCATATCAATTATTAATGTATACGTACCACATATATCACTGTATTAACTAGGTTTGCATGTTCAATGATAATTCAGCCTTTTAATTAATGTAACAAATATGAAAAAAAAATTACAATAAATACGTTTGCTGTCGCAAGGCGGCTAATAGTGGAGGTGGCTTACTAGTTTTTATGAAGAAAAGTCTATCAGTTTTTAAAGTTGAAACGCACTCATCTGGCTTTGAGAGGATCTCAATTAACTTCAAGATAAATAATAAAGGGTACAAATTAATTGCCTACTATAGAGCACCAGTCCAGGAAAATATGAAACCCTTTCTTGTTGATCTTGAAAATGAGATCGCTTCCACAAATGACCGAATAATTTTATCTGGAGATATAAATATCAATGTGAATGATGACTGTAGATCTACAACTGAATATATCAACATACTCGATGCATACAGCCTTAAAGTGATGAATAACATCAAAACAAGAAATATTAGTGGTAAAGTTATTGATCACTTTGGGTGTAATTTCTATGACGAGACAGCAATAGCGAACTTCACAGTGTATAACAGCTTATCGGATCACAACCTCATAATCTCGAGCATAGAAGATACAAATTCTTATCAACCCTCTGAGTCAAAGTACCTCAAGCGAATAAATTATGCTTGTGCAGCAAAACAGCTAAGTATATCAATTAATAAGCTAATGATTTTTGGAATTGAAGATCCTGATATAATTGCAGATCAGCTACTGAAAGTCACACAAGAATCATTAAATGATAACTCGGTTTCCATTAAAATAAGAGTTAAGGCCAACAACATTCACTGTCCATGGTTCAACTGGAAAGTCCTTAATGCGATAAAAAAGAAACAAAATATATCAAAAAGACTAAAAAGAACAAAGTTGATGAAAGAAATGTTTCAACGTCGGCTAAAATCCGAGTCATTGAAAGTAAAGAAGATAATTGAGAAGGAAAAACAAAAATTCTATAGTCTACACCTGCAAAGCAACAATCCAAAAATTCTTTGGAACAAACTAAATGGAATATTAGGAAGAAATACAAAATCTAAAATGGAATTTCTAAATATGAACGGAAGCGTGATCACTGATGAATCAACGATAGCAGAGAAAGTCAACGAATTCTTCATTAAGAGTGTTACAGATGCAGTAAAAGACCGAAGAAAAAATGCTAAAAGCATCAAATTTTCATCTGTGCCACATTCTCTAGTGTTAGATGAAGCTGATGAAGAGGAAATCGCTACAATCATTAGAAATCTCAAAAATTCCTCAGCTGGGAATGATAATATTTCATCAATGGACGTAAAAAAACTTTGCCCTGAGTTATGCTCATCTTTATGCCACTTAATTAATGCTATTATCAAGACTGGAAAGTATCCAAAAGCATTTAAATACGCAACGGTTATCCCAATAAGTAAAACGGGAAAAATAAATGATATTAATGATCTACGCCCTATTTCAATACTCTCCACATTTAACAAGATAGTAGAAAAGTTTCTTTACAATCGCATTATCAAATTTGTAATGAAAAATAATACCCTGTCTGATAAGCAATTTGGATTTCGACCGAAAAGTTGCACGGAAACCGCTGCAACCGAGTTAGTGAGTACGCTTAGAAAGTCACTTGACAAAAAGAAGATAGCATCAGTTGTATTCATGGATATAAAAAAGGCTTTTGACTTGGTGGACAGGAAAATTCTCATGCAAATGCTAAACCTGATTGGCATTAGAGGAAAAATTGAGGAAATTATTGCAAGCTACCTATTTTCGAGATTCCAATCTGTCAAAATAGGATCCAAGATCAGTAAACCACTGAAAGTGGAATATGGCGTTGTTCAGGGTAGTATTTTGGGTAGCCTACTATTTAATATATTTTTCAATGAAGTTACCAAGCTGAATGGACTATCTGGCACGATAATTTTGTATGCTGATGATTTGGCGCTGATTAATGAACATAATCCAAAAGATGACATTGCAACAGTAATCAAAAATGACATGGAATTAATACTCAACTTTCTAGACTACCAGAAAATGATCATAAATATTAAAAAAACGAATTTTATGGTCTTTCATTCCCCTTTCATTAAATGTGTACAGCCTCAGTCAATCAAAATAAATGATGAGTATGAAATAATGCAGATTACATCAATGAAGTACTTAGGACTTCATCTGGATCCTCACTTGAAATGGGATATTCATGGAAGGCATGTTCAACAGAAATTATCTATGGCATCAAGCATAATGTGGAAGCTAAAGAACGTTCTGCCATTCACAGCCAAGAAAAAGATTTATCATTCACTCTTTGCAACACACATCAACTATATGATAACCGTTTGGGGAAATGCCTGCGACACAGTCATCAAACCAATACAAACAATCCAAAATCGAATGTTAAGGAACATGTATGGATTTAATAGGCTGGACAATAGAATTGAAATGTACAAAAAACTCACAACAGATAATATTTTCCCCATTCGCGCAATGAATTACATAAACACAGCATCATTCATCTTTCTATGCAGAAACAAATCCATTCATACAAATATTTCATTCGAGTGCAATAAGGGAGCACGTACCAAAATGAATCTGCGTCCATCAACCTCAAGAAACAATTATGGAAGGAAAGATATTCACCACTTTGGAGTTAACGTGTACAACCATTTACCATTGCTAATAAGAAAAGCGGTGCATGTCCATTCCTTCAAATATCAGACAAAACAGTTTGTGTCCAATGAGCAGTTCCTCTCAATGTGTTTCGATAATAGCTACCTTAAGTCTTTCGGATGATTTTGATAGCTAAAATTACATGAAAAACTGTCAGAGTCTCGAATGCTCTTTTAATCGTTGTTACAGTCTAAATGTCAGCAAAATCATTCGTTAAATTGTTCAGTCATCAATATTTTATTTTTTCACATCTTTCCGTTAAAATGTTGTTTACGTATGTGATTTCAAAATTCAACTTAGCTAAGACACACACCAATAATATAATCCGTCAAATATTTTAAATCTAAATTTATTTCAACTGCTAATAATTTAAAATGAAAATGTCTGTTGGTTTTAAGATCTTTAACGATATTTAATTATCACTGATCTTAAATATTTTAAGCATGTAATTCAAGTTAATTTAACTAAGGTTTTTATGCCATTTTAAAAAGTTTAAATACATTTAAAATGGCTTTTCCTTATGATAGATAAATAAAATAATAATAATAATAATAATAAAAATGCGAATTATAGTTCACGCGAAAGGCTAAGAAATATGTCAATCTATAATCAGTCTGGTAAGGTTGACTTATAGTCAGTACGTATGTTGTTTTAGTGATATTGGACATAGATTCCCTATCTTTGGCTTGTAAACGATACAAAATATTGAAAAAAATTCAAAATTACCAAACTAACCTCAAAAACACAACTCCTTGACCAAAAATTCCTAAAATAAATCCAATTCAAAAGTCAAATATCACTGAACTCACCTGACCTCATCTAAATTCAACATTCAAGGTTTACTCAATTACCTCCAACTATTCCGGTCATTCCAATATCTCACCATAAATAAATACACGAAAAAGTGCTCATTTCCAGCAACAAAAGTTCAACAACGTCTATTTATTAATTCATTACATGCCATGTCGCTCATCAAATAGCAAATAAAAGGTTTATAAAAATTACAGGGGGATAACAGCTTGGTGGGTTACAATTTTTATCGGAAATTTGTTACAATTTTTTTTGGGAAAATCGGAAATTTTAGAAGGGGGATTTAATGTAATGGGGAAAATTTATTGATGAGAAATTGCTGTAAATTTCTTATCAAACGATAAAAACCACATAATTTTAAGTTATTTTTGTAATTTTTCAAACTTTAATGAATTATTTTAACCAAATTCCCTTACCCACAATGCTGTTACCCCCCTGGAAAAATTATATCGCTCACCACGATCCACGCGTGTTTTCATTCATTCTCTCTTCTTTTACTATTTCAGTGGACATTGAGCAGTAAACATTAGTCGCAGGACACTCGTCGGCGAGTACAGAAGCTTTTGAAAAAAATAGCTCCGTGGAAAATAAAAAAAAAAAAAATTTGTTTATCGATTTTTCCACTGTTTTTTGTTTTTGGTTCTAATCTAAAATTCATCAAGGGTGAATAAAGAATTTTTTTATTAAGTGTGAAAGTAAAGGAACTTAAGGAACGGAGAGTTTTTGGACTGTTTTGCATGAATTGGGACTAGTTGCTTGATTGTTGTTGAAGAGTGACTGAAAATTTGAACAAAAAGTGATTAAAAATTGACTAAAATTGTTCAAAACTTGAAAAAAATTGGAGACAATTCAAGTCGCAAAACTCAACACAAAAAGGATGCCCAGAATAACTCCAAAAATCCCACAAGGCTTGGAAGAGCTGATGCTGAATCTAGCAAAAAGTGTCATCAAAGAAAATCCCCAAAATCTTTACGAGTTTGCTGCTGAATACTTCGAAAAGCTCCTCAAAGAACGCGATGGAAAAGTCGACGACAGTTACAAAAAGTTGCCAGCCTATAAAGCTTACAAAAGAGCTAAAATAGAGAAGAACAGGCTGGAAATTGAAGGAATCAAAGTTGAATTAGAATCAAGAAGAAGAATTGCATCAGCACAGACATCAAGAAGCTTCAGCAGATCCTCAAGTGCAACAAAATATGTTGAAAAATTACCAAAAATTGCTTCGTCAAGTGCTGATGCTGAGTCAGTTCCAGTTGAAGCTGAACGTTCTAAGAAGTCTGTGAAAAAATTACCAAACATTTCTGGAACGGCTGTTAAAGTTGCTGTTGGTACAGCAGCAGTTGGAGTTACAGTTGGAGCTGTAAAACCAGCATTAATGGCTGTTAAGCCTCAAAGAAAGTCTGAAGAGATTGTCGAATTTAATGGTGATTTAGAGATTGGTTCAAATGTTGAAGGAGATGTGCCTCAAAGTGGTTCAGATGATTCTGTTGGAACTGAAGGTTTATCACAAGATGCTGAAGTTGATTCAAGAGCTTTTGGGGACGATCAAGTAGAAACTGTAATAAATAATGAAAAAATTGAGGATTCTGAGGTTAAACCTGCTAGTTCTCAACCGGATGCTACAGAATCTGTTTCTTTTTATGAAAATTCAGATGATTTACTAAAAACTTCAACCAAAAATACACAAAGTTCAGAAGAAGATCCAATAGCTGAACCTCAAGCAGCTCAAGAATGTCAAGAAAACCCCCAAAATTTAAATTTTGAACAACCAAACTCGCTTGACTCACCAAACCCACAAGAAGCTCCTCAACTCTATCAAACAAACCCTCAAGAACCCGTCCAACCCCTTGACACAAACCCCCCAGATGACATCATCGAATGCTCAACCGTCGACATAAATTTCCTCAACCGAGAATCAGCATTAATTGACGACATTTTGACTGAAAATTCCAATGAAATTATGGAAAATGGAATCGATAGTAATGAGCGTAAAGCTGATGGAAATGATGGTGATAAAATTAATAAAATTGCAGGCAATAAAATTAATGATGATGAGAATATTGGCATGACTGATAAAGTTGATGGAACCAAGGTTGAGGAATCTATTGATGATGATGTAAAAAATTATGAAAATTCAGAATTAAATCAAAAAGTTGAAGATGAAAAGTTGGTCAAAAATGTATCAATAAATTCAGCATCATCTGCTGAAAATGATTATCACAGCTCAAATCCAAGCATCAAAAGTTCAGAGTTTAGCAATTTATCAGGTGACTCTGTAAAATATGAAGTTTTAAATGTTAGCAGCGACACTCAAGAGAGTCAGTCATTTGATGACAATTTTGCAGGCAATGTTGAAGTTTTGGATGAGAATCTACAAGAAATTAACCAAAATTTAAGCAAATCTGAACCAAAAGTAAAAGAACCGAGTGAATTTGGAAGTGAACTTATCAATAAAATCCGATATTTTGAGGAAAATTCAGAAGTTCTTGAAGATTCTGAGGAAATTGTTGAAGACATGGAAACAAAGTTTGAAAAGTTTGGTGAAATTATGAAGAAAATTGAAGAGTCTGATGAAAGAACTGAAGAAGATTATGTAAAATTGAGCAAAGAAGTCGACAATGAGTCTGCAAATTTAGAGAATATTGACAAAAATCAAGTCACAAGTACCGAAAATGTTGTTGTTGAGCCTGAAAAAAATCTAGAAGTTGCTGAAATAATATCTACAGTTCCAGACCAACTTGAAGATAAACCCCAGCCACCTGAAGACAATGCTGACAATCCTGAATATGACTTCAATGACTTCAATCCCGAAGATCCCAACGAAGACTCAGCATCACCAATTAAAAAATCACTTAAAATTCATCAATTCATCGAGGAAGATTCCAAAATATTCGAACAAGAAGTCGTAAACATTGAAAACATTTTAGACACACCAGAGAAAATTGATGGCAACTTTAACGACCTAGAAGCCATCAAAGAAGTCGAATTTGAGGACATGAACAGTACAACGGTGGATCCTGAAGTTAACGTTGAGGCACAAGACACTAATCTACTCGGTTTAAGTTCTGATGACAATATTAATAATGATGAATCTACTAAAATCATAGAAACTGTCAATTCTCAAGACAATGTTGAGGCTGAAGTCGCTAATTTTCTCAATTTGAGTGCCAACGGCATCAATGATGTGGATAAAAACGTAGAATCAGAACCAACAGCTAATTTTAAAGCCGAGGAACTCAAAAATCCAAATTCAGATCTAATAAAAAGTTCCAAAGATTCAGGCGAGCCCACAATAGCTTCAACAACCCATAAATCTCTACTACAAGCTCCTCAAAACCCTGAAGTTCCACAATCTCCACCACCAAAACCTCACGAACCAGTGTCATCCCCAGATTACTACCACGAAGTTGACAGCAAAGCAACAACAGCTGAAATGAAGGATGACGAATTCATATTCAAATCACCCCGCAACTCGGACATAAGCAAAATAATAGAACAAGAATTTGCAGTCGACGATATATCCATAAAAAAATCAGTTCAAGGAAACGAAAGTGAAATTTCCGGTAGAAATGACATTGAATTAAGTCAACAAAATGTAAATGAAGCGGCAACAGGAAGTGACAATATTAATGGTGGTGAAAAAGTTGATGATAAGATTGAATTGGCGAATGTGGATGAAGGAAGGAAGGTGGAAGTTGATGTGGACAATTTAGTAGCTGCACAAGATAAGTTCACAGACACTGAAAAAGACAAAGCAGCTTTAAAAATCCAGTCAATGTTCCGCGGCTATCAAGTTAGAAAATCATCGAAAATTCAGAAATTTGAAGAAAAGCTCGGTGAAATTGTAAATAATAAATTTGAACCAAAACCTCAGGAACCGAGTGAATTTGGAAGTGAACTTGTCAGCATAATACAAGATTTTAAAAAAAATGATGAAGATTCTGAGGAAGTTGTTGTAGACATGGAGACGAAATTTGAGAAATTTGGTGAAATTATGAGGAAAATTGAGGAATCGGACGAGAAAGTTGACATCAAGGATGATCAAGGCGAGGATTTGGTGAAAGTTACTGATAATAAAAGTGAAATTGAACACAATTTGAATAATATTGAGGAAGCTGTTGAGGAGACAGACTTAAAAAGTCAAGAATATTCAATCAAAAATGACATTAATGTTGAAGATGAAAAGTCCATTAATAATGTTGATGAAGTTGACGTTGTGCCTGGGTTGGCAACTGTTTTGACTTTGGACCCACAAAATCCTGAAGAAACCACAACACTTGTAGACGGAAATGTCACAGAAAGCTCAAAAGATGAAGACTTTATTGACATTTTGTTAAATCAAACTGCTTTAAAAGATTCAAATGAAGCCACTGGCCAAGAAGTCAAGCCTACCTCAAATAGAACCAAACGATCCATATCTCCTGAAACTGGAGAGATAATTGAGGATCCATTAACAATTGAGCATGAAGATTCATGGACGGATGACTTTGATGTCTTAAAAATTCATCAAAAAAGACAAACTTCAGCTTCAGAAGCTATCCAAAATGGCAATGCTGACAATTCTAAAACAAAGATTGAAAACTTAGAAGATTCCAACAAAATCTCACCAATAATTCCACAAACTTCAAGTATTCAAGATGGAATTGATGAAGTTGACTCAAATTTTGACCATCAACCACAAGACGCACGTCCTTCAGACAATGAATCAGCAGATAATTCCCATCCATCATATTCTGACAGTAGAAAGGTCAAAGACAAGGACAGTGCTGAGCCAGTGACAATATTAGACAGTCCTGAACCAATAAAACATGACGATAATGTTGAATTAATTGAGGAACAAACAAAAATTGTGGAAGTAAATAATTTTGAAGGCAAGGAAGAACCAAAAATCAATGAAATTGTCAGTAAAGGTGAAGAATCTATAAAAAATGTCAATAAGGATGTTAGTGCTGACGTAGAAAATCCACAAAGTAATATTGACACAAGTGCAATTATTGACGAAGAATTGAAAGGAAATTTTGAGGAATTAAGCAAGTCTGAACATGAAAATAGATTAAATTTTGACGCAATTGAGCCTTTAAATGAGGTTAAAGCTTCTGATGTAGTCAGTCCGGCAATAAATAAGTCAATTGACAGCTCAAATAATCATAAAGTCGATGAAACTGAAAATAAGGATGTGGAATTAATTGATGAGAAATTAAGCAAGCAGCCAGAAGATTCAAGTAGCTCAGACTCAAGTAATGACTTGAGTGGATTTAATTATGAAGTTTTGCCATCGCCGCCAACTGACTCGCCAGGCGAGACTGAAAATGATGAACATTTTGATGAAATTGTACGAAATTTGACACCAAATTCGAAAGAAAATGAGGAAATTGAGCAAAGTTTTGAGAAAATTGTGGAAAATTTGGATGAAAATGTTGAAAGTTTGGATGGAAATTTAAGAATTTTGGAAGGAAAAGTGGAAAATTTGGATGGAAATGTTGAAATTTTGGATGGAAAAGAGGAAAATTTGAATGAAAAAATGGAAAATTTAGATGAAAAAGTGGAAAATTTGAATGAAAAAATGGAAAATTTGGATGAAAAAGTTGTAAATTTGGATGGAAAAGTGGAAAAATTGAACAAAAAAATTGAAAATTGGGATGGAAAAGGAGAAAATTTGGATAAAAAAATGGAAAATTTTGATGAAGAAGTGGGAAATTCAGTCAAAAATGAGAAAATCTCCCAAAATATGAAAAACTCAATCACCAACCCTGAAAATTCGGATAAAAATCCTGAAAATTCAAACCAAAATCCCGAAAAATCCACCGAAACACCAGAAAACACAACCAGGAATGCTCAAATTTTCGACAAATATTTGGACATTTATGATGAAAATTTAGAAAATTTTGAATTTTTCACCAACAATCCCGACGGAACTTTGAAAAAGTCTCACAAAATTGTTGAAAAATTGAATGAAATTGTCGACGACGAGGTTGCAAAATATGTAGAAAAAATGGAGACTGAATTTGAAGGAATTGAGTCAAATGATGAGAATTTAGGTGCTGAAAATGAGGCAACTGGGAAAATTGAAGGTGAAGCACAGTTTGATGTATTTGAGTATGCAGTACCGGATGAAGAAGTTGCAGAAGAAAAGCCTGTAAAGTCAATAGATTTGCCACTAGTGTTTAAAATTGGTGAAAATATCAAAATTGAAACAGAAAATGAGGAATTTTCGTCACCAGAGCCAGAAGTTATTGAAGAGTCAGTCATTAAGGAACAGTTTAAGCCACAACATTCTGAAAATATCCCAATTCCACAGCTAAAATCAAGCCCAAAAAACCTCAACGACCAAGAAAATGCAGCCGTCAAAATTCAGTCATTTTTCAGAGGCTTTAAAGTTAGAAAATCCACCAAACCTAAGAAAAGATCACCAAAAGAATCAAGCATTTTTGGAAACGAGCTTGTCGACAAAATTCAAGAATTTGAAGAGAAATCTGAAAATTTAGAAAATTCTGATGAAAAACTTGAAGACATGGAAACGAAATTCGAAAAATTCGGTGAAATAATGAAGAAAATTGAGGAATCAGAGGAAAATGTCAACATCCAGAAAGATCAAGTCAAAGATTCAGACTCAATTTCAAAAGCTTTTCGACTTCAAACTGAAGATTCAATGAAAAGTGATCAAAATTCTTACACAAATTTACATGAAAAAGAAGAAATTTTGAGTTCAGAAACTTCAAATCCAGTAGATTCTCAGGAACTTAAGACTTCAAATCCAGAAGTCACAAATCAACATCAAGACAACATCACAACAGACCAAATCTTAAACCCACTTCAAGGATTTTCAAAATTATCAGAAAAATTCGAACCAAAAATAGAAGAAAATTCAGCCGAACAAGCAGCTGTGAAGATTCAATCACTTTTCAGAGGTTTTAAGGTCCGCAAGTCCAATCCACCCAAAAAATACAAACAAAATGTCAAAGAACCGAGTGCATTTGGGTCAGAACTTGTTGATAAAATTGAGGAATTTGAAGAGAAAGTTGAGAATTCGGATGAAGTTGTTGAGGACATGGAAGTCAAGTTTGAAAAGTTTGGAGAAATTATGAAGAAAATTGAGGAATCTGAGAAGGTCGTTGATGAAAAATCTGAGAAAATTCTGGAAAATTCAGGCTCAAATATTGAACATGCTGAAGAGTTTCAAGAGAAAAGTGACGAAAATGTCAAAAATAAGAACATTTTGGACCCAAAAACTCAAAGAAATAAGGAAAATTTTGTTCAAAAAGATGTAAAAGTGACAGAATGTCAGGCAAACGATGATATTGTTGAGGTTAAAGACGCAAATTCTGACAAAATCCAAAAACCAAGCACAAAATCATCTAAAAGTGAGGAAAATGTATCAAATAAAGACAAAGAACCTAAAAATCACTCAAATTTAACCTCAAAATCTTCAGAAAACACCGAACAAGCCAACGCAGCAGTCAAAATCCAGTCATTCTTTCGAGGCTTCAAAGTGAGGCTGTCAAATCCAACAAATAAGAAGAATGTTGAAGAACCAAGTGAATTTGGATGTGAGCTAGTCGAGAAGATTCAAGATTTTGAGGAAAACAAGGAAATTTTGGAAAGTTCAGATGAAAATCTTGTGGACATGGAAGAAAAGTTTGAGAAATTTGGTGAAATTATGAGGAAAATTGAAGAGTCTGATGAGAAAATTGAAGAAAATTCTGAAGAATTGATAGAAAAAGTCAACATTCAGGAAGAGCAAGCACAAAGCAATTCAGAAGAAAAGCTAGAAAATTGTGACAAAAATCTTTTGAAATCTGAAAATTCAACAAATGTCAAACAAGATTCAAATGGCATCAAACTCCCAACAGACTCCAGTCCAAGCCCTAACTCATCAGCAACCAAAGAAGAGCAAAAACAAGCCACAGTCGATGAAACCAATGCTGCAGTCAAGATTCAATCAGTTTTTAGAGGATTCAATGTTAGAAAGTCAAGTAAGCCAAAACCTCAAGAAGCAAGTGCCTTTGGATCAGAACTGATTGACACAATTCAGGATTTTCAAGCAAAAAATGAAAATTCTGATGAATATGTTGAAGATATGGAAGTAACATTTGAGAAATTTGGGGATATAATGAAGAAGATTGAGGAATCTGAGGGAAATGTTGAGAAAATTGAAGGAAATGGATCCAAAGAAACTGGAAAATTTGATGAAAAGTTGGAAAATTCTGATGAAAAATTGGAAAATTCTGATGAAAAATTGGAAAATTCTTATGAAAAGTTGGAAAAATTTGATGGAAAATTGGGAAATTCTGATGGAAAATTGGAAAATTCTGATGGAAAATTGGAAAATTCTGAAGGAAAATTGGAAAATTCTGATGAAAAATTTGAAAACGCTTTAAAATCTGATGAAAATTCCAAAAGTCAACCACAAACCAAACCAAGACCCCCTCTAGCACTGCCACAAGCAACCGAAGAACCCCCAAAAAGTCCACAAAATCAACAACAAAACCCAGAAGCTGATGAAATGTCAGGCGAGTATGAAGAAGTCGACCAACTATCAACAATTTATGAACAAAATTCAGTCGAAGAAGAAGCGTGCATTGAAAGAATAATAAGCTACTGTGGGCCAAAATTGGAGCATAATGTCAACGAATTGAATGAAAAAATTATTTGTGGGCAAGAAGAAAGTCAAGCTGAATTCGGGTCAGCATCAGAAAATGAAAAATTAATTGGAAAAAAAGTTAAAATACCAAATTTAATCAAGTCTGAAGTTCCAAAGGAAGCTGAAGCTCAAAACTTCGATTCAAAAATTGACATAAAATCCCAAAAGTTTGTGAAAATTGGCGACAAATTTGTCAGAGTCGAGGAAGGCCAGGAAATTATCGACGACGCTCCAAAAACTGATAATGAGGTTTTGGAAAATTTAGCAAAATCCACTGAAAAATTGACAAAATTTTCCGAAAAATTGTCAAAATCGCCTGCAAAAAATTCAAGTTTTGATGACACTTCGGAAAAGTTTGAGGAAATTTCCAAGCAATTTGATCAAATTTCAAAAGAATATGACAAGCTTTATAAGAAAATTGAGGAAAAGTTTGAGGAAAACTTGCTGGTTGTTCAGGAAAATTCAGTTAATTTTGGTAAAGTTGAGATTTTGGATGGAAAAAATGATGAATTTGAGGTTAAAAGTGACGAAAATTCTGAAAATTCAAATACAGTCTCAAATGAACCTCAAATTGACGAGCAAGCCAAGGCAGCAGTCAAAATCCAGTCCTCATTTCGAGGCTACAAAGTCAGAAAGTCAAGATTCCAAAATTTCAGAGACAATTTAAGTGAAAAATTCAACATAAAATCTGAACAAAAAGTCGAGGAACCAAGCAGTTTTGGGTCAGAGTTGGTCGAAAAAATCAAAGATTTTAATGAAAATGAGGAAAATTCAAGCGATTTGGGAGAAAATCTTGAAAAAATGGAAGAAAAGTTTGAGAAATTTGGTCAAATTATGAAGAAAATTGAGGAATCTGGTGAGAAAGTTGAAGGATTGGATGGAAAATTCAACATCCAGGAAGATCGGGAAGTAAATTTAAAGGAAAATGTGACAAAATTTGATGAAAAATCAGAAAATTTTGAAGAAAAGTCGGAAAATTCAGCATCAAAAATAGACAATTTTGTTAAAAATGATGAAAAACTTGAGGAAAATTCTGAAAATTTTATGAAAATTTACGAAAATTCAACAATTTTTGAACAAGATTTAATGCTCGATTCCAAAAATTTAGACACAAAAACGTCAACTCAGGAAAATTTCGATGATTTCGACATGGATTCACTAGAATATGAAGCAAATATCCAAAATATCAGCACAAATGTAAATGAAAATGCACCAAAAATTGAAGAAAATTTACAAAATTTAACAAAAATTGACAACAAAGCTGGAAATTCAACCAAACCTGCTGAAAATTTCAAAGCTGATGACAAAAGTTCCACAAAATCTCCCGAAAAACTTGACACAAAAGTCTCCCAAAAACCATCAAAAATTCCAATTAAAGAAAAATCCCAACAAAAATTATCAATAAAATCCGAAAGTCTGCAAGATTTGCTCCCATCAGACTCAAAGTCAATCAACAAACTCAGTCATTCAACTGACCACACGCCACTCTTGAGTCCAATCAACAGCGACCTTAATTTACTCAGACGTCAGTCATACATTGACAGTGTGCTTCATGAACTTGAAGGTTCTCATGTGATTGAAGGTGGACTGATTGGATACGGCGATCAATTTAATGATTTACAGGCTGGAAATACTGAGAATCTGCATCGTGATGTTGAGTTTGAGCAGGACATTGAGCCTTGGATGGAAAATGAAGGAAAAGCTAAAGATTTAAATGAAGTTTGTGGAAAAATCGAAGAAAATCGGGAAAATTCAGATGAAAATCAGGAAAATGAAGTGAAAAATCGGGAAAATTCAAGTGAAAAACGGGAAAATCTCGAAGAAAATCGGGAAAATTCAGATGAAAAACAGGAAAATTTTGAAGTAAATCGGGAAAACTCAGATGAAAAACAGGAAATTGAAGTGAAAAATCTGGAAAATTTAAATGAAAAACAGGAAAAATTTGAAGAAACTCGGAAAAATTCAGATGAAAAACAGGAAAACGTTGAAGAAAATCGGGAAAATTCAAATGAAAATCAGGAAAATAATGTGAAAAATCTGGAATATTCAAATGAAAACCAGGAAAATTTTGAAGAAAATCGGGAAAATTCAGGAAAAAACCAGGAAAATTCAGATGAAAAAAATGACAATTTTCAAGAAAACTCAGAAATTTTGAATGAAAATCTTTTAAATTCCGAAGAAAATGTTGAAAAACTCATCAAATCTGACGAAAAATTTCACCAATCATCACCAAACCCTCTTAATACCCTCAAAAAGTCATCAATTTTCCCTCAAAACCCAACAATCTCATCCTCATCCCACCAAAAAATCATTCCAGTTGCAACAGTCCAACCAGAAAACATCAAAGCCCTAACCTTAAAATCACAAGCTAAACCAGAATCAGAAGTAAATCAACCGAAACAAAGCTCAATTCCAAATCATTCAAAACAAGCAAAAAATTCAATTATGAGGCAAAAGACGATGCCCGTTCAATTTGAGAGCAGCGTGATGAGAGTTTTGCCGAAGCATTTGAGAAAAAGGTGACTATTTATTCAGCTAGGTTTGATAGACAGCCAGACATTCATACATCCAGACGTTCAGACATCCAATTAAAAAAAATTCAATAAGCCTTGATGTGTCTTGATATCTACCAATAAATTGTTTATCAGCGTCTAAGTGCGTTGGGAAAAACATATTATAATCAGACTTGAGGCATGAAGGGGGAAACAGCCTGATGAGAAAAAATTCTACTTTTTAAAAATTACAAAATCCGATTCTTCCTCCAATCATGTTGTTCCCTCCTTGAATCTAAGTTAAATTCAGTGCTGTGTAATCTATTGGCTGTGGCACCTGGTCTAAAGAGGATAAGAACTTTACAGCAGAAACTTTTATCATGTTGTTTTCCCCTTTGGTGTCTGAGTCAACAAACAGTGCTGTCTAAATTGCGTGCAGCTGCATCTAAATTCAAAGGGGATAACAACTTAGTAAGGAAATTTATTGATAAAGTTTCAATTTTCCATTAGGTTGTTATCCCCTTGCCCATGTCTATTAATGATAAATAAGCACCTTTACACAAATTCCCAATTTTCATTCTCATTTCTAGGATTCAAAGTGCTGAAGGCGAGAAAAAGAAGAAAAGGCCAGTTTTGATGCAGTAAAGGTCCGGCGATAGAGCATTGACTTGAAGCTAACAAGACAGTCTATTGCCACAAAACTAGACAAGACATTTCCCACACATCCGGTTATCAGCAATTTTTCGTGTGATTTTTGATGACTCAATTAAATTGTAAAACATGTTTATGCAGACACAGATTGTTGTTCCTGTCTGCTCAAATAAAAAAATAGACATTGCTGTGACAAAAATGTTGAATAATTTATTTAAAATATGTTAAAAATGTTGTCGAACATCCTCAAAAAAATTCACATGCAAAAGTCAAGGATGTCGTTGAGCAGTCATTAGCAACAGCATTATAAGCCATGCCAGCAGTTCTCATTATCATTGCACATGCTTGGCCATTTTTCAATGCAGCACCCCAAGACATTCCACTGTACATGATTGTCGTCTGATTTGAGAAAATTCTCCAATTTCCATTTTTGTTGCCATTTGAGACTCCGTTGCCTAACATTGAGAAGGCACCTGATGGGAATTTTGATGACATAAATGCTGTGAGTCCATTGTAAGCATCGACACTGGTGATTGCATAGAGAGACATACCAAGACTTGTACAATAGCTTGTTGCATCTGGATGTGACATCGGTGTACTTATGTAGCATATTGACATTTGAGGTACTGTTGAGACAGGAACAATGTATTGACATGCTGCTTTTGGTGAGACTTTCGTGGTTGTTGTTGTTGGTGGAGTTGCCATTAATGGAGCTTGAGTTGTTGTTGTAGTTGTAGGTGCTAAAGTTGTTGAAGTTGTTGAAGTTGTTGGAGCCAAAGTTGTTGTTGATGTTGTGGTTGTTGAGGCTTGGGTTGTTGTTGTTGTTGGAGCTTCAGTTGTTGTGGTTGTAGTTGGAGCCAATGTTGTTGAAGTTGTTGTGGTCGTTGGTGCTTCTGTTGTTGTGGATGTTGTGGTTGTTGGTGTTTCGGTTGTTGTTGTTGTAGCTGGAGCCAATGTTGTCGAAGTTGTTGTGGTTGTTGGTGCTTCTGTTGTTGTGGTTGTTGATGCTTCTGTTGTTGTGGAAGTTGTTGAGGTTGTTGACGGAGATGTTGTGGTTGTAGATGACACTGTTGTTGTTGTAGAAATTGTTGTTCCTCCCTGACTATTGCATGCGCAAAAGTTATCACCTAAAGCCTGAATGTCTAATAAAGCATGCATCAATCTGAGCAAAGTAAATGCAAGCTTCTGTAAATAATCCAAATATAAATTTTCCATGACCATCATAACGCCAATAGCTTTGACAACAGCTTTATACTGGTCAGCCGAAAAGCTTGAGTTGTAGAGCAAAACAGTTGTATTTAAATTATTTTGATAATAAGTCAGGAATGAGAAATTTTGACCAGCACTTGCGTATGCCTGAACATAGACCCAATATTTATAAGTGACATATCCAACACGTGATAATAAGGCACTGCATGCTGTTGCATTTGTCCATGGTGATTGACTATAATCAGAAATTGTTGCTAGATTTGTAAGGAACGTGATTGTTTGTTGAAGGACTTGAGATGATTGAAGTGTGACTGGAATTGCTGATTTGACATAACTTAGAGCAGTTCCTGATAATGTGATGAGCTTCTGTTGTCGAGTGATTAATGGCTGTTCAAGAAAATTAATATTTGAATCTAAAGTTGAGACATTTCCAGCTACAGCAGATGAGATTGTTGATGGACATGAACAGTACTTTTGCTTAAAGAAGCTAAGCTGAACTCCAAGTCCATATTCAGTTGATGCAGCAACCAACAACTGATTTGTATAAGTCAAATATTCAACAACAATGTTGTTAAGTTGTTGAATAATTTTGTAGACATTTTGTTGATTGGAACTGCCAATTCCAAGTGCAACTAAGTTGATTGAATAATAATAGGATATCCAAACATTCTGTTGATAAATTGCAGTTGCATTGATATAAGCTTTATTGGCAAGCATCAAGAATTTCTGGACATCAAAGTTAATTGCCGTAATTTTCACATTCACATCACTACAAGTTGTTATTGCTTGATATTTTGCATAGTTGTTGGCTGTTGTCTGCTTCGTCATTATTGTCATGATTGTATTTAATGCTGTGACTACATCTGGAACATTTGTAATTGCTGCAATTGCTGATTGAATGATTGAAGTCTGATTTGTCAACATTTGAATGATTTTTGACTGCTCAGCAATTAAATTTGTTGTAATTTTAGCCAATTGAGTGTCCAAAGCTGTTGCATCGAATGTTGTCTGTCCACTGGCTGTTGATATTAAAGCGATAATGATAAAAATTGAAAATACTAAAACCTTTGAGTCCATTGTGATGAAAAATGAGGAATTTAGTTGAAGTTGATGTGCTTTTATATGCAAAATTCGGGGATTATTTGATGAATGGAACAAGTTAGTATGTACAAAGCTACAACATCCGCAAACCTTTTTTCACTGTTGAAATTTAAATAATGTTTTACAAATAAAATCAATGTTTATTTAAGTCGATGAGGCAGAAGGCATTTAAAGGACATAATATGATGAATTTATGGACTCAAGTTGTAATGAGACTTAAGCAGTGGTTGATTAAAACCCAAAAAAGCCTTAGAACATGTAAAATTTACTATTTCCAAAAGTAACATGCAAAATAGAAAAATGCGCTTTTATCCTCATTCATCATAATGTGAGTTTATAATTTGCATTAAACATTAAAGTTTGGATTTTTTTTTGTTAAAGTCGACTTTAGTAATCCGAAAAAGTACAGTTGAACGGACTTATGAGTAAAATACCATTAAAATTGTCACTTTTTGCTACATTTCCTAATAACGTCATTCATCTAAAGCAAGTATTTAAAAAAGAAAGAAATAAAAACATGCGGATGTTGTAGCTTCGCACATTTAGCTTATACGTCATTACTAATCAACGTTTTTTTTTTCTAGTATATAAGCACATCAACTTCAACAAAATTCCTCATTTTTCATCACAATGGACTCAAAGGTTTTACTATTTTCAATTTTTATCATTATCGCTTTAATATCAACAGCCAGTGGACAGACAACATTCGATGCAACAGCTTTGGACACTCAATTAGCTAAAATTACAACAAATTTAATTGCTGAGCAGTCAAAAATCATTCAAATGTTGACAAATCAGACTTCAATCATTCAATCAGCAATTGCCACAATTACAAATGTTCCAGATGTAGTCACAGCATTAAATACAGTCGTGACAATAATGACGAAGCAGACAACAGCCAACAACAATGCGAAATATCAAGCAATAACAACTTGTAGTGATGTGAATGTGAAAATTACGTCAATTAACTTTGATGTCCAGAAATTCTTGATGCTTGCCAATAAAGCTTATATCAATGCAACTGCAATTTATCAACAGAATGTATGGATATCCTATTTTTATTCAATCAACTTAGTTGCACTTGGAATTGGCAGTTTCAATCAACAAAATGTCTACAAAATTATTCAACAACTTAACAACATTGTTGTTGAATATTTGACTTATACAAATCAGTTGTTGGTTGCTGCATCAACTGAATATGGACTTGGAGTTCAGCTTAGCTTCTTTAAGCAAAAGTACTGTTCATGTCCATCAACAATCTCATCTGCTGTAGCTGGAAATGTCTCAACTTTAGATTCAAATATTAATTTTCTTGAACAGCCATTAATCACTCGACAACAAAAGCTCATCACATTATCAGGAACTGCTTTAAGTTATGTCAAATCAGCAATTCCAGTCACACTTCAATCATCTCAAGTCCTTCAACAAACAATCACGTTCCTTACAAATCTAGCAACAATTTCTGATTATAGTCAATCACCATGGACAAATGCAACAGCATGCAGTGCCTTATTATCACGTGTTGGATATGTCACTTATAAATATTGGGTCTATGTTCAGGCATACGCAAGTGCTGGTCAAAATTTCTCATTCCTGACTTATTATCAAAAAAATTTAAATACAACCGTTTTGCTCTACAATTCAAGCTTCTCGGCAACACAATATACAGCTGCAGTTAGTGCCATTGACGTTATGATGGTCATGGAAGAGCTGTATTTGGATTATTTACAGACGCTTGCATTTACATTGAATAGATTTATGCTTGCTTTAGTGGATATTCAGGCTTTAGGTGATAACTTTTGCGTTTGCAGTAACCAAAGTTCTTCAACAACAACGACATCTGAACCTTCAACATCCACCCAGTCTGCAACTTCAATAACGCCAGTTGTTGCTACAATAACCCAACCATCAACATCTCCAGCAGCATGTGCTGCCACTTATCCAATTATGTCATCCACAAATGCCTATATTAAGACACTTTGTTACATTAAACCAGCTACGAATCATGCGAATGCCACAGACTATTGTACAAGTATAGGAATGTCACTTTATGCAATCACAGATGAGGATACTTATAATGGATATACTGCATTTGTGAATTATAGATGGGCAGCTGGATATACCCCATCATTTGTCTCAAATGGAATCACATCTGGAGCTGTAAATGCAACTTGGCATATATATTCAAATCAAACTGTTCCATTGTATGCTGGATTACCGTGGATAGATTCAAATGTTACTGCACAAGCCTGTTTTACATTATTAAGAAATCCTGATTTGGTTTTTACTGCTGAAGCCCAGGATTGCGAAACACTTTCGAAGACTTTCTGTTGTGAATATTAAATTAAATTTGCTAAGCTTAATAAGAAATGTTTCGATAATTTCATCTGTATAGTGCGCAGACGCTTCATTTATTTTGTGAATAATGCGCAGTCCTAAATTTTTGGTATATAGTACGCACTACATAATTTTGATCAGATAGTGCGCAAACGAATAGACTAATTTTCAGATAATGCGCACATCAGTTTTATTACCAAAAATACGCGATTAAAATTAATTTGCGTCTATTTTGCCCAGATCAACTGTAATAAACTCTTATCAGACGCATAGAGACAATACATAGTGCTTGAAGATAAAATAGATTTCAAATGAGAATATTGATATTCACTCACATTGTGCGCATATTTTAAAATTCAACTTTTATTAAAATCAAAATGTTTACATTCAAAATTACAAGTTTTTTCAAACTCTGTCTTCATCCAATTCAATCAACCATAAAAATCTCAAATTTTTCAAACTTTGAATCACACGAACATCAACATACTTAATCTCATTATAATGCAATCCAATCAATTCCAATTTCTTGTTAAATTCAAACAAATCTTCGCGGACATTCTTCAAATTGTTGTTGTAAAAATTCAAATATTTCAACTGTGGGAACGGCGACAAGTCACTCTGCCTGACTTCCTTTAAATTTGATGACAAAATGCTGATGGCGACTAAATTTGGAAATAATTTTTGAAGACCTTTTGGGAAGTAATTGATGACTGCTCCTTTGACTCGGAATCCACGAACATCATTGTTAGACTTGCCAACTGCATGCTGTCCATTAGCTGCTGAGATGAGTGTATTTGGTTCAGTGATAGCCGATGAAATTGTGTCAACTTCACAAGTGTAAATCTCATCAAAAATGTGCCAGCCTGAAGATGGTGAAAAGTTGCAGTTGATTGTTACTGATTGGTCGGCTAAAAGAACCGATGTCAGCTGAAGAATGACGAGAAGCTTTAAACTGTAAATGGACAAAAATATAAAAACAGATAATTCAAGGTTGTCATATTTGAGTCTGTTGCTATAAAATTTCAAAAAAAAGAGAGAGTTAAGTTGATTTTCTTTAAATGGGAGGAATGAAAAGGAAATTGACAATGAGCCCAGCAATTCGAGATCAACTGGAACCAAGGGTTACAGTGTTAATTATAAAAACTTGAAATGAACTTTTAAAAAAGGGGTGTGAAACTATTTTAGAGGGGAGATTTTTCACTGGACGACTATTTGGGTTGACTACAAATGTTTTTAAGAAATCAAAGCATTTATGGAGTCTTCATTCAAATGATTTTAAAAGGGAAAGGTTTAAAATGAAATTTTGACATCATTTATGAACAGCCCCAAGAAGATTTGAACTTTTTTTAAATTTTTCCGTCCATTAAGCAATATTGGGGGGGAAGGGGGGGGGGGAGGGGTGTTTTAAGTTCAAACCCACATGATAGCTATGTCCCAACTTTTGAAGTCTCCAAGATGTATTTACTTACCCAAACATGTTGTTGTTGTTGTTTTGATTATTTTCAACTTTATTTGTCACAATTTTAATTCCAAATATTAAGTAATAATATTTCAAAAAAGCTGATAAGGCAGCAAAGGAAACCAGAAAAAAAACAGTTTGTAAACAATTTGAAGTTCAAATGATGACTGATTGCTCACAGCTCGTGTCAAAATTATTTTAATGCTTTTTTTATTTATTCTCAAATATTTTTAAGTGATTAGAAGAGACTTTTTTTGAGATGGATTGGAGATTTTGATGAAAATTAGGCAATTTTTGGTGAAACATTTCGAAACGGCGACTGAATTTTTAAAAAGATTCAAGGTTTATGTGATGATCTTGTGGTTGCATACTTCTCAAGAAAATTTGGGGTTTAATAGCAGAACTTGATGTCCTTTTACACCGTCTTATATTCAATTGAACATGTTTTCACCTTTTTGGACCCCCAATAAATCCACTGGAGCCGTTTAAGACTCACCTTTGCATTTTTAACTTCTTTAGACTTTCTGATACCTTTCTTTAAACTCCTGAGACCTTCCTTGAACCTTTTTTATTAAACTAGGTCCTCTTAAATGCCCGTAAGATCTTCGTTGGGTTCCTTTGAATTAATCAGACCTTATTAAACCTTTTTGATCTTCCTTTGACATTTCTGGTCCCAACTTTGCTAAAATGGACCCTCTCAAACCCTCTTGGAATCTACAACCCTCTTCTTAGATCACTATAAACCCTCTTAGACGCTCTTGCACCTCCTTTTAACACCTTATCTATTCTGGACATGCTTCAACTCTTAATTTTAAATTTTAACCTCCAAATATTCCCAACCCAAGAAGAATACCGAAGAACCCTTAGATTGGTTGTGTTTGATAAGACGCTGGAGTCCCGAATATCTCGAATTAGTAGAAAATATCGAAGGATAGAGCTGTCTATAGACATTCTCAAATCGCGGCAATGGGTCCACGTGTGCCCCTTGCCAAGGAAGTAATTAAGGAATTAACCTCCAAAAATTAAAAGAAAATAATTTTTCATTACTACAACATTTGATTTTTCTTTTATTATCAATTTTTTCATATTTCAATAAATTTTTTTTTCTTTAATTTTTTGAAATTTTCCAATTCCACAATTGGTCTTTTTTTGGTTTCAAGTGTTCCTTTTCCCTATTTTTTTTGTGAAATTTAAATTTTTCATTTAATATTTTTTTTTCGGTTTATTTTACACAACATTTTTGAGGTTCCTTTAATTACTTTTGTTTCACATACTTTTTTTTTTGTTATTTTGTAATATAAAATATTTACTACAGTAACTTATTAAGAAGTTTACTTCCTGGCTTCAAGGAACTTGAGTAGGAAGATTTTTTTTCTGTTTTCTTTTGCTTTGGTTTTGTGTTTTTTTTTTAAATTAAATTTGTTACAAAAAATTTATAATTTTTAAAACTTTGTTGCAGTTTTAGAAAGGAAAATTAATCATTTTTGAGAGATGCAGAAAGTTTGCTTCAAAGATGCAGAAAGTTTTCTTCGAAGATGCAGAAAGTCTGCTTCAAGAATCCAGAAAGTTTGTTTCATAAATGCATAAAGTCTGCTTAAAAGATGCAGAAAATCTACTTCAAAGATGCAAAAAGTCTGCTTCAAGAATCCAGAAAGTTTTCTTCAAAGATGCAGAAAGTCTGCTGCGAAGCTGCAAAAAGCCTGCTTCAAAGATGCAAAAAGTCTGCTTCGAATATGCAAAAAGTCTGCTTTAAAGATGCAAAAAGTTTTCTTCAAAGACGCAGAAAGTCTGCTTCAAGAATCCAGAAAATTTGCTTCAAAGATGCAAAAAGTCTGCTTCAAATATGCAGAAAGTCTACTTTGAAGATGCAGAAAACTTGCTTCAAAGATGTAGAAAGTCTGCTTCAAAGATGCAAAATTATTATTTTTGAATTTTTGAATTGAATTTTAAAAAGGAGAAAATGAGAAATTTTAAACATCAAGGACTTCAGGTTGTGCAATTAATTATAGATTATGTCCAAGATAATCAAATTGATCAGCTAAAATCCATGATTTTACAGCAATTCTTCCTAAAAATCCAGCAACTTAAGACATAATCCGAGAGTAATTCAATTAGGACGAGGGATTTCTTGCCAATTCAATTTCAATTCTTTAAAAATTTCTTTCAATTCACTTCATTATAAGATAATTTTGTATTCCATTACGTGATAAACGCGCTCTTATTTTAAGAGCGACAATCTCATTTCATTTATTTTTTATAATTTCTGTTTTTGACCTAAAAATTTCCTTTAATTAATTTAATTCATATTTTTTTTTCATCTTTCATATAATTTACTTATAAAATTATGAGAAAAAAGTTTTATTTTAAGCTGTCAAGTTTCACTTAACACCGTCAAGCCACGGATGTTGAAGACATTGTCGTGCTGTGGCTCTTAAAAGTGGATTATATTCGAGCATTGGGACTATAAAGTCTGTAAATTGTCTTGCTTCTTCGATATCCCATTCGTATTTTTCCACGAGAACGTTGAACAGGCTCCAGGTTTTCAGTTTCGTGATGTGACGAAGATGTCCTAAAAAAGAGAAAAAAATTAGTGGTGTCAAAGATGCAAAAGCCTGCATCAATGATGCAAAAACTCGCATCAAAGATGCAAAAGTTCGCATCAATGATGCAAAAACTCGCATCAATGATGCAAAAACTCGCATCAATGATGCATAAGTTCACATCAAAGATGCACAAATTCACGTCAAAGATGCAAAAATTCGCGTCAAAGATGCAAAAAGTTCGCAAAAAAAAAAATCAAGACAACTGATTACTCACCATAACTAGTAAAATACTTCAATCCATGTTTCCCGCGCATTACAAGACTTGGCGGAATAGCACCGAGCAGTTCAATTATGTGCGCCAAATGATCTTCGTCTCTTGAGTAATTGTCACCTGAATGTGGATCAAAAAGATAATCTCCAGTCGCTAGTTCAAACGTTAGACACGCTGTGCTCCAAATGTCGGCTGAGTATGTGTAAGGAACGCCGAGAAGAACTTCAATGGAACGATATTGACGCGTTTGGATGTCGTCTGTGAAGTGGTAATGCTGGAAAGATAATAAAATTGAGAAATGGATAAGAATTCAGAGTTTTGCTTCAAAGATGCAGAGTTTTGCTTCAAAGGTGCAAATATTCGAATCAAAGATGAGAAACTTTCGCTTCAAAGTTGCGAAAATTCACTTCAATGATGCGAAAAATTCGCTTCAAAGATGCAAACATTCGCTTCAAAGATGCGAAAAATTCGCTTCAAAGATGCAAACATTTGCTTCAAAGATGCGAAACTCAACAATAATTTCAAACTCACATCGAAGCACGCATTCCCAAGATCAGCAATCTTAACTTTGATATTTGGATTGTTTAGTAGACTTTGCAGCACACCCGAATAAGAAATTTGTTTGCTACTCAATTTTGACAGTTTAAATGGCAGTTTTGACTGAAAAATGAGACAAATTACATCAAAATTTCACCAAACATAATTTAAAGCTCACTTTGCTTTCTCCACCAGTCTGAAGTTGATTACTATTATTAACAATAGATATGCTTCCCTTCCTCTGTTGTTCCACTCGATATCTCCCAAGATCACCAGAAGCACCAACACTTCCTGCATCATTTTCAAAATCACTCTTGTTCAGCGATCCATTTGATCCACGCAGCTGATCAGCTCTCTCCTCAAATGATGAAATTCGTTTACCATCCAAAAATGATGATGATGTTGTTGTTGTACTTGACGATGCACCAATGACCGCATCATCGTCCGACTCGAGACTATTAGCTATGGGATGATGAGAATTTGAATCAATCTGCGTTGTTTTTGATTCATTTTCATGACAACTAATACTATTGTTATTAATATTATTATTATTATTATTATTATTGATATTGATATTATTATTATGAGTTGATGACGGTGCCTGTGATGATGATAATGATGAAGATTGTTGAGGTGGTGGAGGCGATGGTGATTTTTTTGAGCGCTTTTCTAATGTGCTTACTAAAATTAAATAAGGAAAAAAAATAAAATAAATATTTCATGAGGAAAAGAATAAATTAAATTAAATTAAATTAGGTTTTATGAATTAATTGGTAGAGTTGGTAGGGTTGGAGTTTTGGGTTTATGCTTACACTTTCCCGTACCTACACATTTATATCTGTCCTATTTTCTACACCTGATTTTCAGGTTGAAAATAGGAATAATTGAAGATTAGGATAAGGTGCGGGACGGAGTAGGAGTATGTGGATACCAGGAAACCTGCCCTTACGAAAGGGGGTTGTTCGTAAATGACCACTATGATCGAAACCTTAAAAAAGCTACGAAAGTGCATGTCAAGAAAAAGTATTTTTTAATTATAACTATGTCATTTTAACTAAATAAAATTCAATATATTGTCCAAGAACATCATAAGTACCACCAAGTTGCGTTTTCATTAAGACTAAGTGGAAATTTGAGCTATAAACGCCGGAAAGTGTCCTGAAATAATTGAGCTCCAAACATTGATAAACCTCAAAAAGCTCATCTCTTATTATGCCTGAATCTCCTATCATAGAAAGTACACAGTCTCTGATTCCTAAAGCAAATCAAACACCAAAACTGACCGCAAGAAAGCACTGGGAATTATCGCCAACTGAAGAACAGACAAGCCCAAAAAAGAAGTGCAGCAGTATGTCAAATGTCGAAAAGGATCTTAAATTATTCATGGAAGAAATGAGAGGACAAATGACATCGATGAGCCAGAAAATGGATGAGTGGAACAGACACTTTGACAGCAAAGTTGACACAATGATAGCTGATGTTAATCAAGTTAAGAAAGATCTTGAAGATGTGAGAGGAGAAATAATAAATCTCGAAGTAGACAACGTAGAGATCCAAAAAAAAATTAAGAACCATGATAGCCAATTGAATGCCATAAATCAAATGATGCTTGAGAAAGAAATCACAATGGTCAATATAGCATCAACTATAAAAGAGGAGAAATTTCTTGAGGACATGAACAAATGGAGTAACAACATCATCAAAGAGACACTCATGAGCCATAATTTTTCATCGAATGCGAAATATAAGTCTAAATCTGCTCATTTACACTTCAATACGATGAATGATAAAAAGAAGTTTCTCAACTTCCTGAACACTAAGCAACGCGATGTCAATAAGAAGTACATTCCTGTCCTCAATGAAAATATATTCACTCTTCAAGATTCCGACGTCAACAGAGCTAATGCTATCGAATTCCGTACACCAATGACCTCTATCAACCGGGAACTATTCAACAAGGCAAGGAACGCAAAGAAAAAAAATCCATCAATTGAAGGTGTCTGGATATCGAATGGAACTATGAGAATCCGAATCAAAGACAAGAAGCCTGTTCAAATCAACGATATTGAGCAGCTCACGGATCTATTCAGCTCTAATAACATCCAATTTCCAATGGAATAATCTGTGAGTTTCCTCTAAATAATAAAGTACATTAAATCGCCTAAAAGAAAAAGAAAAAAAAACATAAAAATATTATTCAGCAATTAATTTTCGAAAATAGAACGATCCTGAAAGTTCTGTTGATAGTCCTGTCACCATTAGTAGAGATAAGTCCGTTAGTCTGCCTGATTTTGCTTTCGAATTCACTCAATCAATAATTTAATCTGCCAAAAAGATCACACAGAATCAAAAATCAAAACAAAGTGTTAGTACTTGCACTAAAATGTATCTAATAGCAAAATTCGAATTCTAAAGAGACGTTACAAAACGCCCTACGTTTTTTTGTCTCTGTATGATAATATCGAGATACTTTTTAGATCTAATGAGAGAAATCTTGCAGAATAATAGTACATCATAATGATCTCATGGTAATTGCTCATACTTATTCATACTTTATATGTTATATCAGTATTTCAACGTCTCTTGACTATAAAACAAATAAAAAAAAAAAAAAAAGTTCGTGTCACGTTTCTCGATTTCAATAATGTCATAAATTAGCAAACATACACTTGCTAACAGCTTATATATTACTTTAATTACATCCACATAATACACACTAGTCATTAATATGACAATATCGCGTTTTTAAAGCACGCCCTTAGATTTCATTAGGTCATAGACGGAATCGTGAAATTTAACGGTAATTCGTAGATGGTCTAAACACGTTTTCAAATGGAAGCAAGGCAGTTGGCTCGAAACTATACTCGCTGAACCACCTTGAATACGGCTTCTTTATGAGAAGCACGTTGAGATCATTGTAATGTGAAAACGTTACTAGTGCAAATTTCGGCTCTCACGATAGTCGGTGTCCGCTTTTATACGCGACGAGCAATGTGCGACATTAGATTTCACTAGGTCACCAGACGAATCCATGATATTTAATGGGAATATGTATGTTGGCAATGAATGTGATGTTTCGTATGTTTAACGATAAAACTGCCATGAAGTTACGATCGTAAACATTCAAAATGTCTATTCTATTTATCAATTACAATAACGTGAAAGCGTTAAGTGTACATGCTTCGTTAACTCCGTATCCAATCGAATACTAACAAGTCAAGAGGAGAAAAGAGTTGAATCGTTGATACTACATTATTACTCATAGCAATTAGAATAAAGCAAGATAACTTTTTTAGTCAGTCACTATAACTAAAATGCAAGTCATTAACATATGCTCATTGTTCTAACAGGGCTCTCACACACAACTTTCAGTATCGAAAATCACATTTAAATAAAGCAACAAAATTTAATTTCCTCTCTTTCTTGGATTATATTTGAATAACTAAAACAAAAAAATGGATATAAACAATAATTTTGAAATACAACCAAATGTAAAGCATCACAATAGCCTTCCAAGCAACATTCAATATAAAAACAATCTTAACTGTCTATACATAAACGCTCAGTCTCTTAGAAATTCTCTGAATGATCTACAATGTTTCATCTCTAGTGTAAATTATAAAATTCATGTGGTGTTAATAGTAGAGACATGGATAAAGTCATCGGAAAAACAGTATTACAATCTTAATAATTATCACTCCTTACACTCTACCAGAACCAGCTCTATAGGTGGAGGTGCCTCTATCTTTGTCCTTAATGAATTTGACACAGCAAATATTGTGTATGAGGAATGTACCAACAATAATAACTTTATAATTATCTCGCTTACAAAAGCAGACATTCACGTAGGTCTTTGCTACAGGCAGCCGAATAATTCTCTTGATCAAGACGGAAGAATATTCCTGAACAAACTTGATCTCTTATTAAACACTTACAGTAAAATATATTTCTTCGGCGACTTTAACATTAATCTGTTCGATAGATCTGCTCTTCTTGTAAATAATTATAAGGACATAGTAAACTCAAATGGGCTGTCATTCCTAAACTCCACCTCAAATGAATATCCAACGCGTATTAACTATAGATATAATTCGAGTACTTGCATAGATCACATATTTACTGACTTCCATTTCTACAAGAATCCGTTATCTCATGAAATGTTTCTGTTTGACAATATAGCCGACCACAAGAATATTATCTTAAGCATACAAAGGCAATCCAATGAATATGAAAATGCTAAGACAATTCAGTACAAACGCGTAAATAATCAAAAAATTCTTAATTCCAAAGTACTCGAAAACTTAGACTGTAACACATTTGAAGACTTTAATCTAGCAATTCAGAAGATTATAATAAATAACACAGCTGAAAGTAAAGTTCAACTACCATGTATTAAGCCATATATCGACAGTAAAACGCGCAACTTCATTGAGATAAGGAATAAATTCATAAATTTAAAAGCAAAACATCCCTACTGTATCGAGATTAAAACAAGATTTAAGTATTATAGAAATTTGGTCAACCGACTCGTAAGAAAATCTAAAAAAGATTATTACGATAGGAAATTTGCGGAAAATCTCAATGACCCAAGGAAAACTTGGCAAAATATCAACTCAGTTTTGTATAATAAGTCACACATTCATGATCCACCTTGCTCACTCTTATCTGAAAATGGTATACCAGTTTCTAATCCCAGTGCAATTGCTGAGCACTTTAATAATTTCTTTATCAACATTGCCAATGTAACACCTAATAATATATGTGTCCAAAATATACCACCAATTAATCACAGTCTGTCATATGAGATTAGTCATAACTTTACATGCCCATTAGCTACTGAAGATGAGATTTGCATGATAATTAACAACTTAAAATGCTCTAGTGCGATCGATATATACGGTATGTCTAATAATTTTATTAAAATGCACGGGAAAGCATTGACAAGTTCCTTAACCAAGTTGATAAATATAAACCTTCGTGATGGCACTTTTCCTGACGCACTAAAAGTTGGAGTTGTAACACCAATTTATAAAACCGGTGATAGGAAAAATAAAAATAACTATCGTCCAATAACTGTTAACCCAATTGTAGGAAAAGTATTTGAGTACGTCATACAACGTCGCTTACAAGATCATTTGGACAGTAATAATATTATCAATTGCAATCAATTCGGCTTCGTTAAAAATTCAAATGCTGAAGTCGCGACAGCTCATATTCTTCATGACATTTATAACGGTATTGACAATAAAAAAGCCGTATCTCTTACATGTATTGATCTCTCAAAAGCGTTCGATTCCATTAGACATGACATACTCATTAATAAATTAAAATCACTTCAATTCGATAAAACCTTCATCAAATTACTGATATCATATCTTGAAGATAGGAAGCAAGCCACTAAAATATCAAATATAATAAGCTCGTTCAAAATCATTAAGGCAGGCACTCCGCAAGGAGGCATATTATCAAACCCGTTCTTTAATTTGTACATAAACGATATCTTTAATATTGGAATTGTAGGCACACTAGCGTTATATGCCGATGACATGTCTTTAACTAATGTAGCAGATAATCCACAAGAACTTAAGAATATGATGGAGCATGACTTAGATCTAATTAGTAAATGGCTTAATCTTAATCAACTCACTCCAAATCCTGACAAAACTAAATACATATTGTTCCACAATAAAAAAAAGTTCGAAAACTTTACGGAAACGTCGCTTAATATTCAATTCAACGGTAGGACATTAGAACGTGTAGAAAGAGTAAATGTGTTAGGCTTATTAGTTGACGAAACGCTTTCATTTAAAGATCACATACAATCTATTAAAGATAAAATTATATCGTTTTCATATGCAGTTAAGAGAGTGAGAAAATTACTAAGCGATAAAACAGCGATAGCTCTTTATTATGCACATGTTCAGTCGCGACTTATGTATATGAATACTGTGTGGTCAGCAGCAGCCCAGTACAACTTAAACTCGCTTGAAATTGCCCAAAGAAAGTCCTTAAGAATTCTATTGAATAAAAACTGGTTCTGCAGCAGATCAGAATTGTATAGCATAAGAATTCTTCCAGTCAATACACTTTGTCAAATTAGTGTTTGCATTCAAGTTTTTAAAATCGCGTCTAACATGCTTAAAAACAATATTAATATTCAAACAGCCTATCAAAGACACAATTATCGAACAAGAAAGAGAGAAAACTTTGTCATTCCAGTCACCCATACACAATTAGGAAGTCAGACTTTCTTCATTAGAGGACTGTCATTGTACAACTCACTTGAGCAGACAGTTAAGAACACTTTTTCATTGAGTTTATTCAAGACTAGAATTAAAGAATGTTTCTATGAGATGTATTGTGATGCTAATAATTAAATCATTAAATAGTATAAAAATTACACTATGTAGCTAAAATTTTATATAATTTTGTAACACAGCCATTTGGCTACTTACAAATAAAATGAAATACAAACCAAAAAAAAAAAAAAAAATAACGGCAATTTTTAAAAAACAAACAATGAAATTTCATGAAAATCTATTGTATTAGAGCTCTTAACCCTTAACGAGACGTCATTTATGATCGACCTCAAAGGAAAATAACAAATGAAAGACCCTAATCTAATAACTTTAGAACAGTGATTAACAACCTATGAGCCGCGACACACTAGTGTAAAAAACTTCCACGAATTGATGCCGTGTGTGGTTTTGGTCCTGGATTACAAAGAAAGTGAGCCGTGGCACAAAAATGTTTGGAAACCACTGCTTTAGAGTAAAGCTTTTAATATCAAAGGTAAAACTAGTGTTTTCAAACTTTATTGGTCCGCGTAAAACAGTTTGAGAAATACTGACAATGACGCTTTGAAAATTAAAAAAAGATTGAGGTTAAAATTTTTTGAGGTTAAAATTTTTTTGAGGTAAAAATTTTTTTGAGGTTAAAATTTTTTGAGGTTAAAATTTTTGTAGGTTAAAACTTTTTTGAGGTTAAAAATTTTTTTTTGTAAAAACTTGGTTCAAAATATAAAGTCTGATTGTTAAGTGATGCACGTTAAAAAAAATTGAAATGTGAATCGATTGAAAGAATGAGCTGAATGGCCAATAAAGGAACAAAAAATAAAAAAAAATAACTTTGAAAAAACCTTGAAAAATTTTAAAATTTCATATCAAACCCCTGTTCCCCTTCCCTACAAAATAACCCTGAAAATCAAAATTTACCATAAGAATCCGGAAACCAGTGAGCACCATAGCCTCGCCCCTTCAAATCCTTAATAGCTTCATCAATTTGTTGATTTATGGCAGCCGCATTATCCATCACAATGAGAATATTTTCTGGTTTTACATCCGTATGTATAATATGACATTTTGTATGGAGATAATCAAGTCCTTGTAGTACCTAAAATGGAATAAAGAAGAATGGCAAATAATGAGTTGAAAATTGCTTTGTAATGAAGATTGTGATTGGAATCTTGAGGATGGCAAAGGTTAAATAATTATGGAAATTTATTGCCATTGGGACTACAATTAAGATAAGATTTTTATGACTTTTGGGATATCCTATTCAAGTTGGGTGGAATTTGAGGTTAGAATTTTTAAAAATTGACTATTTTGAGGTTAGAATTTTCAAATTTGACTGTTTTGAGGTTAGAACCAGGAAATTTTGAGGTTAAAAATCAGGAATTTTGAGGTTAGAAAATGTTAAACTGAAGATTTTCAGGTTAGAATTTAAAAAAATATAAATTTTGAGGTTAGAGTTTCAAAAATTGACAATTTTGAGGTTAGAATCTCACCTGTTTAATAATAGACTTAACCTGTGAAATAGCCAAGCCCTGATAATTATTTTTCACAATTAATTTATAAAGCGAGCATCCAAGTGCCTCAAACACAAGACACGTATGGACACCATTGACACCACGAACAGTGAAATGATTCAACAGCTTCACAATTCTCTCATGATGCACATCATAAGGATCCGCGTCTCGTATCACTTCCAATAACTTTATCTCATCAGCCGCCGTCTCGGCATAATGTTGTGCTGACTTGACAACCTTTAACGCGACATATTTCTCTTCCTCAATGTCCCGGCACAGCCAAACGGTTGAAAAGTGTCCCCATCCAAGTTTACGAACGACACGATAACGATTATGAAGCATATCGCCGAGATGAACTGGATGATAACCACCACGACGATACTGAGCGACATCCTCTTGCTCTTCGTCTTCTGATCCGTAAAGACTTGAGTCTGGGCTGTCGGTGTATTGTTGAAATTCGTCATTTGGAATGGGCGTGCTTCGGGGCTCAGATCTGAAGGAAAAGTGATAAAAAGGGATAGTTAAATAAACATTTATTGATTTTTTATTATATAATAATCCTTTATAGGATTCAAACTAGCTTTTTGAGGCTAAGGTGCCTTCACACTAGATTTTGAGGTTCAGGTGCCTTTACACTAGTATATTGAAATTCAGGTGCCTTCACAAAAGTTTCTAAAATTTCAGGGACCTTCACAATTGAATTCTAAAGATTAGGTGCCTTCACACTAGACTTTTATTTTTAAGATACATTCACACTAAGCTCGCAAAGTTCAGGTGCCTCAACATAAAAAACTTTTCATAACAAATTTCAACTCGTCTCATTCATAACCTTCAAACACTCAATGTCAGCTGTAAATTCTTCCGCGAACATTGCTATAAATCTAATTTACCTCATTTTCAATCAACAATCAATTTACTTCCAATTTACAATTCCAAAATATACATGATATTGAACCATTAATAAATAATAACTTAATAGATCAACAACAACAAGGATTATTGAGATATAACATAAAATATTCTGTGTAAGTATATAGTTGCGTGACTAACTCTTGTCAGTGGTAGTTGCTCAAAGGATAAAGAAGTAAAATGAGGGGAGAAGGAAAGTGAAGACAAGAATGAAAACTAAAATTGGATTTCCAAGAATGAGGAGCAGCAAATGAGTAAGTAAATGCATGCGTAGAAGCTTTATGATAGAATGAAATGCAATTATCAGAAATAAAGTTGTGGATATGACTTCATAAAGGTCAAAAGTATGTCAGTAAATCTACAAAAATTCAATTATACTGATGTAAATTAAAATTACTGTCAGAATTGAATTATGGTAATTCTGTGACCACAGCAAGAATTTTCATTTAGGCATTTTAATTGCATGGAAAATCAACAAGTTTGGTTGGTTTGGCAAATATAGTAAAATACAAAAGGGTGTCTTTTTTGCGATTTAGGTGCCTTCACACTAAGGATTATGGTCAAGGTTCATTCACACTAAGGATGATGGTTATGGTGTTTTCACACTAGAGCTTATGGCATCACACTTTATGGTTTAGGTGTATTCACACTAGCTCTCATAGTTAAGGTGCCTTCACACTAGCTTTCATGATTAAGGTGCATTCACAATAAAGTTCATAGTTAAGTTGCTTTTACACTAGCTTTCATGGTTAAGTTGCATTCGCACTAGAGTTCATTGCTAAGGTGCCTTTACACAGGAGTTCATGATTAAGGTGCCTTCACACTATCTTTTGTGGTTAAGGTGCCTTCACACTAGCTTTCATGATTAAGGTACATTTACAATAAAGCTCATGGTTAAGTTGCATTTACACTAAAGATAATTGCTAAAATGCCTCTACACTAGAGTTCATGGTTAAGGTGCCTTCACACTATCTTTTGTGGTTAAGGTGCCTTCACACTAGCTTTCATGATTAAGGTACATTCACAATAAAGCTCATAGTTAAGTTGCTTTTATACTAGCTTTCATGGTTAAGTTGCATTCGCACTAGAGTTCATTGCTAAGGTGCCTTTACACAGGAGTTCATGGTTAAGGTGCTTTTACACAGGAGTTCATAGTTAAGGTGCTTTACACTAGCTTTCATGGTTAAGTTGCATTTACATTACAGTTCATGGCTAAGGTGCCTTCACACTACAATAACAATTTAAACTAAAACCAACCCCTCCTCCTCAATAGTTGACAAGTCGAATTTTCTCTTAGGTCACATAATTTTTGGAATAAATCTTTTTAAAACTGCTTTCATAAAATTCATCTAACTACAGAAAAATTTCAATATTCCAATGAAGTAAAATCACAATTACATCTCAACCTGTCCGGATAGTTCAACTAACTGAAATTATTTCTCATCATTTTTTTTAAAAAAAAAAATAAAAAATAAATTGACAGTGAAAAATTTCTCAGAGAAAATTATTGATTTTTTGTTATATTTTTAATTTACAAGAGCAACATAAACATCATATATGATGAGAGGGAAAAAAAGTTGCACTTCATCGAACACAAAATGTGACAAGTTTGCTTAGTTTGGTTTTAATTGAACTTGTCAAAGCATGAAGGAAATAGGAAATGGATAGTAATAAAACAGAAAAGTTGAAGTCAAAAAGTTTTATTATTTTTGGGGTGGGTCGGGTGAGGTTTCTGATGAGTCATTAAAATTTCAAGGGGATGTAATGTGATTCAGAATTTAATGATACAGCAAACTCTATGATTCAAATTGACAAAAGTCTTCTGTTTTGATGAGTAAGCAGAAATTAAGCTTGTACTGAAATATGTTCACTATATGATACAAAGTTAACACAAATGTGTTCTCATTTCACTCCTAGTAGATGTCTATTTATGATTGTCGATTCAATTTGGCGCCAAAAAGTCTCAAGAAAGAATTTTTTTATTGGTTCAGAAATTTGTTGAAAGAGATTTTTTTACTGTTCAGGCTCCTTCACACTAAGTTCTAATAGTTCGGATGCATTTACACTAGGTTTTAGAAATTCAGGTGCATTTACATTAGATTCTAGAAATTAAGGTGCCTTCACACTTGGTTCTAGAAATTCAGGCACATTCACATTTTGTTCTAGAAATTCAGGTGCATTCACATTAGATTCTAGAAATTCAGGTGTCTTTACACTAGGTTCTAGAAATTCAGGCACATTCACACTCCGTTCTAGAAATTCAGGCACATTCACACAGAAATTCATGCGCTTTCACATTTTGTTCTAGAAAATCAGTCACACACTCACATTTTGTTCTAGAAAATCAGGCATATTCGCATTTAGTTCTAGAAATTCAGGCACATTCGCATTTAGTTTTTGAAATTCAGGCACATTCACACAGGATGATTATAATTCAGTTGCCTTCAGACTAGATGCTTGAAATTCAGGCTCATTCACACTGGGTTCAAGAAGATCAGGTGCATTCACACTCTAAGTATAGAATATTTGAAGCAACAAAACACAACAAACTCATAAAAAATAACAAAATAATACACACACATTAACGATGTCAACAATTGCTGTGTCGATTTGATTCAATTCGGGACTATTGATGGGCAATATATCATATCGGTATCGTTCCTCACGTTCCTCAACATTGATATTTCGTACGATTTGTGAATGTGGCGTCACAAAAACTGGACCCACGCTAATGCACTTCCGTCTCGGTATTTTAAGCTGCTGTTTTATGACTTTCTGCGGAACTTCCAATTGTGGCTGTTTAACGTCAATGATTGACTCACTTTCCCATCCTGATAGTAGTTTCGACTCCACTTTTGGTTCCGGTTGTTCAATTTTCTCCTCAACTTCGGCCTTTTCTGTCACTTTTGTCACTTCCTCGACTTTTTCTGGCTCATTTTCTACATTTTCCGGCCTTCGAGTATAGAAAATGCTGACAAGTCGTGCGAGTGTGATGACAGCAAGCAGACAGAAAATCAATTCGAGAACTTGATTTATTGTTGTCGACACAAATTCCAGTGAACGGTTGATCGTTGTATCGATAAAGTTTTGTGTTGCATTTCCATCGAGTTGTTGGGGCATTTTTGAACTTTTTTGGGATTGTTTCTTGGGTTATTTGGGGTAGAAAATTTGTTGTTTTTTTTTTGTTTTTTAATGTCCAGTTTTAATATTTCTATCACTTGATTCTTATTTTGTTAACTTCAAAGCACTTTGTGAATCCATTATCTTTTGCTATAAAATTGTGAATTATGTTATAAAATTTCTGAGAAGTTTGCTATAAACTTGAAAATTTTGCTATAAAATTCAATTTTCGAATTTTTGATTAATAAGTTGGAAATTTCTGCCTATTTTTGCTTAAAATCAAAGGCTAATGTTCTTGTTTTCACCACTGCTACTCCCATGCTACCAAACTTTCTCTCATAACACATTAATGTCAACAAATTGTCATCAAACAACGACAAAAACTAGTCACAAAAATATTTTTCATTTCATTTTCATTTTCCATCAACAAATTCTGATTTGTTTTGAACAAATTTCCACAATCAAAAACACAAACAAAACACGGAAAACAAAAATTATTTTCTTCTTTTCTTTGTTGTGAGTCAGTCATCGCTCAAATTTTATAATGACGATGCACACAAAGATTCTCAGTTCTTCTGGCATCGATGGAGGGAAAAAAGAGGAAGAAAAATATGTGAATCATAATGATAAAAGTTGATGAACGGGATAACAATGAATAAGAAATTTATTTATTTTTGATTTTATTTGTTTTGAAGATTTTGCGTAAAGAAAGATTTGTAATTTTTTAAAGAAAAAGTTGCCATAAAATTTCTTAGAAATTTGCCATAATTTTGCTATAAAAATGCTGTGTATCTTCCGTATAATTTTTCATGAACTTTGCTCTATAATTTTAAATTTTGAGGCTTTTGCTATAAAATTCTTAGAGACTTGCGCTACAGTTTTGTAGACTTTTGTTATAATTTTTGGTGACAATTGCTATAATTTTGCATTAAATTTTGGATACTTTTGCTATAAAATTTTTGGAGACTTGCGCTACAATTTTGTAGACTTTTGTTATAATTTTTGATGACAATTGCTATAATTTTGCCATAAATTTTGGATACTTTTGCTATAAAATTCTTGGAGACTTGCGCTACAGTTTTGTAGACTTTTGTTATAATTTTTGATGACAATTGCTATAATTTTGCCATAAATTTTGGATACTTTTGCTATAAAATTCTTGGAGACTTGCGCTACAGTTTTGTAGACTTTTGTTATAATTTTTGATGACAATTGCTATAATTTTGCCATAAATTTTGGATACTTTTGCTATAAAATTCTTGGAGACTTGCGCTACAGTTTTGTAGACTTTTGTTATAATTTTTGGTGACAATTGCTATAATTTTACCATAAATTTTGGATACTTTTGCTATAAAATTCTTGGAGACTTGCGCTACAGTTTTGTAGACTTTTGGTATAATTTTTGTAACCTTTGCTATAATTTTGATATAAAATTTTGATACTTTTGTTATAAATTTTAATGAACTTTGCTGCAATTTTCGGAGAATTTCGTTATAAAAATCTGGAGACTTTTCGTATAAATTTCTGAGCATTCTGCTATAAAACAGCATTTTCATCCGACAATTCACAATCATCATTTTACAACTCAACAAATCAACAAACACAAGTAAATCCAATAAACTTTTACTGTCCATAAATGAAGGAAATTTAAATTTCAACAATAAAAACCGCTTCATTAGCTTTCACAATTTCCTATAAAAAATTTCATTTTCCGTCACTTCCTTTCCCTCTTTTCTTTGCTGATTAATGCGACTTTTCACTTTCAAAATAAAGAGAAGAAGAAAAAGTATCAATAAACAGTCACAGTAACTGAACCGTCAAATAAAACTCGGTTGAGAGTGAAAAACATTTTCTCTCAATTTTCTCGCGTGTTTCTCTGCCTCACTGGGTCACAATCACGTGGGTACGTGCGATCAATTTAAATACATGAAAAGAGAGAAGGAGAGAGGATGGAAAGACACAAAAATAAGCAGATGATGCTGCTATAAATAAAAGAGGAACATTTTTTTGTCTTCTTTTGTGTGTTTTTTTTTCGTTTCTTTTGATTATTTAAGAAAATGTGAAAATCTGGCGACTCTCGGTGGTTATTTTTTCGGAATCTGCTGCTTGGATTTGCTATTTTTGTTACTGTGTGCTGTCTAAGGTTGAGTTTTGATAAACACTTTGGATAACTTTACTGAATTTTGCATTTTTTTGTTAAATTTTTGGCATATTTGGGGAGATACTTTAATGCTTGCCTGGAATATGACGCATGAAACCTCAAAAAAGAGCTCATGATATCCCATCGGTTTGTACAGGGTTTGCTATGGACACACTATCTTATGCAATCAGATTCCATTTCAATCAGATACACGATGCTTGTACTACAAAAGATTATTGTCTTTTAACGGCTTTTTCAAAAAATTTAAATTTTGTAACTTTAGAAGTGAATTTGAATTTTCGAACGCACTCTAAAGAACTTTTATAACGACAGAAAAAAATGAATATCTGACAGAAAAAGCAATGGATTTCCGAACGCACTCATCACGTGTTTCTGAATAAATCAATGGTTGTTATTGTGAAAAATATTTTACAGGCAGTTGTGTTCCCCCTGAATGATATTGATCCCTCTTGATTAAATTTTAGTATTGAATTTGAAAAATAATTATTTTTTTTGCATATTTTGATATCCGAGAACATTTTGTTATGAAAACAAACAGAACTGAGTGAATATTAAATTACTTTTTATATTATTTTTCTCAATTATGAAGCAGAAAATGATTATTTGATCAAATTGATACTTTAATCTACTCAAAAAATTAGCTTTGAGTTCAAATTTAATAAAAAATCAATAGCAAATATTGAACGACCTCCAAAAAGATATCAAAATAGTGGATAAAGCTTGACTAACGCAGTAATGAACTTAATTGGAGGTTTAGAAAGGATTATTGGACAGTCTACGTCCAAACTTGATGAATTATTCCAAATCTATCTGCATCCAACACTATTAAGTCCCCAACTTGACCCTCAACTCACCAAACTTCATAAATTACCATCTAAAATACTTCAAAGCAAGGCAAAGCCAATAAACCTCAACAAAAAGCTCACAGAAATAAGAACAAGAAAAGGCACAAAAATTATGCAAATCAACTCTCATGTAAATTTCTGTGTTGTAGCTTTGAATAGCAAATATTTCATAAATAATTTCGGTCAAACAAGGTGTCAAGAATAAGAAAATGAAATTAAGCAAATCAGCTTTCGGGTCAAAAAAATGAAAATTTCACTGCGGAATACGCGCGTGTTTTAGATTTCTATGAAAACAGTTTATCATTATTAGCAGTGCAAAAAGGACGTCAAGAATGAGAGTTTTCAAGGCATTCGCGGAACAGAAATGTCTGATTTGAGAGAAAGGGGGAAATAACTTGAAAATTGTGCTATTAAAAGAGTAAGCACACCTACTTTTTGAATCATTTATGTGAAGGCACCTGATACACCAAAACTCTAATGTGAAGGAGACTGAACCACAAAAACCTAATGTGAAGGCACCCGAATGTCAATTTTTTATGTGAAGACTCCTGATAACCAAAAACTCTAATGTTAAGGAGAATCAACCACGAAAACCTAAAGTGAAAGCACATGAATGTCAATTTTTTATGTGAAGACACCTGATACTCAAAAACTCTAATGTGAAGGAGACTGAACCACAAAAAACCTAATGTGAAGGCACCCGAATGTCAATTTTTTATGTGAAGACTCCTGATAATCAAAAACTCTAATGTGAAGGAGAATCAACCACGAAAACCTAATGTGAAGGCACCTGAATGTCAACTTTTTATGTAAATACACAGAAAATCCAGAATTCTTCTCTTTAAAATTAAAAATTATTTTTCCATCACGCTGTTTTCCCCTCTAAGGATTTAACACAACGAAACATTTTGTTTGACTAGAAGGCTAGCTTTGTTTTAGTGATAATTTGTGAAAATTTAACAATTGTTACAACTTCAATGAAGGATATGAACAGAAAGTTTTGACAAATTTGTGTGAAATTGTAGCTTACAAAACTAAACTCATCCTTTTATTGACGTTTAGAATTTCCTCCTCTATTCTGACTTCATTAAACCTTACTCAGCCACAACAAAAATTCAGTAAACTAAGACAAAAATCGATTTCATATCCAAACCCACGCTATCAATTCTTTTTTATCTTTAATTTAATTCCTTTTTATAGATTTTTTTATGCAAGTTCTAGAAAATCTTTTTTTACATTCTAAACAGTTTTTGTCTTGCTAATTTCTATCATGTTCCTACATTTCTAAACCATATATTGCTCACGAACCATTTAGCATAGCTTTTTATGGCAACAAAATCCATTCAAATTATTAAGAAATAATTCATAAAAAATCTTTTAATGCAAATGACTTCGAAATTTGTGCCAACTATAGCCATGTTTATGCTGCCTGAAGGATCAAATTACTGAAACGTGATTTCAAATTGGAATTGTAAGAAATATCCAAAAAGGATGTAAATGGGTTCAATAAATGTATGTCGAAGCTGAATGGAAACTAAAGGAAGCTTAGCTGTCTTTGAAATTAATTTGATCTTTTATGTGAATGCGCCTGAATCACACATCATCTATTCTTAAGATACAATATATTAAAATTTCAATGTGAAGACACCTGAACCTTATAATTCATGTGTGAATGCATCTTAATTCCAATAAATCTAGTGTAAGGACACCTGAATCTTAAAAATCAGTGTGAAGTTGCCTGAATCTTAGAAGTCGTTTATGAACGCACCCAAATTACAACTACTAAAGTGAAGCAACCTGAACCTATGTACATTAGTGTAAAGATGCCTGAATTTGAAAATTATAGTGTGAATGCACCTGAAGTTTACAACTGTATTGTGAAGACACGTGAACATTAAAAAATTTACAGTGATTGATCCTAATTTTAAAATTTTAATGCAAAGACACCTAAATTTGAGTGTGAATGCACCTGAATTACATCAAAACTAGTGTAAAGACACCTTAACCTCAAAACTAGTGTAAAGACACCTGAATCTCAAAACTAGTGTAAAGACCACTGAACCACAAAACTAGTGTAAAGACACCTTAACCTAAAAAAACTAGTGTAAATACACCTGAACCTAAAGACTAGTGTAAAGACACCTGAACCTGAAAATTCATTTTAAAAGGACATCGACCTTATAATTTTTATCAGATTATAAATCCACACATTCCAAATATCTGCACTCTACTTTCCACCACAATAAGCCTTCAATTCCATCCAATTCATTCAATAATCTTGAAAGCTTTCTCTATCTTCCTCCCTCCACTAATTCTTATAGTAGCGCTACAATTCCATTCAATATTTATGTCAATTTTATTGTTTGTGATTTTAGTTTTATTTATTTTCATTTTTTTTTTCGTTGTCGATATTTTTTGTTGTTGCGAGTGTTTGGCAAATAAAGCACAAAAATTTATTATCAGCAAGACTGACAGAAAAGAAAAAAAAAAACATTTTCGAGTCGAAGAAACGAACGAGAAGAAATAAAAATATGAAAAATTCCTTAGCAATATTTGCTCATATTCATAAATTTGCCGTCCCTTAGGGTAATTTGGGATGATTTTTTAACAGGAATGATGAGTGTTTTGATCAATATTAATGAGCTGTGCCTCCAGCTCAAAAGGCTTTGCACTTTTCACTATTAAATGATTTATGAAGGTAGGGCTTTGAATGAGGAGAATGTTGATCGATATTTTGGAGGATTTGATGGTTTTGGAAGAATTTTGTGAAATATTCTGCTAGTAATTGAGTCTTGCGGTGAGCAGATTGGTCAAATTTTATTTTAAAGGCACTTGAACTAGCAAAGAATATTGTAAAGACACCTGAACTAGCAAAACTATTGTGAAGACACCTGAATTAACGAAGACTATTGTGAAGACACCTGAACTATCAAAGACTATTGTGAAGACATCTGAACTAGAAAAGACTATTGTAAAGACACCTGAATTAGCAAAGACTAGTGTGAAGACACCTAAACTAGCAAAAACTATTGTGAAGACACCTGAACTAGAAAAGACTATTGTGAAGACACCTGAACTAGCAAAGACTATTGTGAAGACATTTGAATTAGCAAAGACTATTGTGAAGGCACTTGAACTAGCAAAGAATATTGTAAAGACACCTGAACTAGCAAAGACTATTGTGAAGACACCTGAACTAGAAAATACTATTGTATAGAATCCTGAACTGGCAAAGACTATTGTGAAGACACTTGAACTAGAAAAGACTATTGTAAAGACACCTGAACTAGCAAAGACTATTGTGAATACACCTAAACTAGCAAAAACTATTGTGAAGACACCTGAACTAGAAAAGACTATTGTGAAGACACCTGAACTAGCAAAGACTATTGTAAAGACACCTGAACTAGCAAAGACTATTGAAAAGACCCCTGAACTAGCAAAGACTATTGTGAAGACACCTGAACTAGTAAAGTTTATTGTGAAGACACCTGAACTAGCAAAGACTAGTGTGAAGGCACCTAAATTAGCAAAGACTAGTGTGAAGACACCTGAACTAGCAAAGACTATTTTGAAGACACCTGAACTAGCAAAAACTTGTGTGAGGGCACGTGAACTAAAACCAGGTCCGGAATGAAATTTAGCTGTGACTAAAGTTGGTTGCTATTATTATTCTTACAAACCGCACCCAGTACCTCTGCCAAGTCAACAGTTGAATAGTAAAGAGACATAGGAGTCCTCCGACATCAAATGATGGATGTCTGATAGCAAAACTGAAAGTTTGCAGCAAAGTGTGGCAATTGAGACACAAAACACTCCAACAACAACAAGTTCAAGCTTCACTAAGTTCTTTATTTTTAACATTCTGAACTAAAATGTAGCAACGGGGTGGGATTGGGTCAAACCTTGAACACTAAGCCGTTATTTCCAACACAATTGACTCTGACAAAATAATCCCAAGGACATCAACTTTTTTTTATTCTCGTATTTTGAAAAACACTGAAGAAAATCTTTAATTTTTTTCTCATCGCTGATGACGAAAGCAAAAAATTATTTTTTTTGAGCTCGCCGAGCAAAAAGAAGCAAAAATTTCCACAATTTTTTTTAATCCAAATTTTTCAAAAAATTGTTTTTTTAAACCTTTTTTTCACTTTTTTTTATTATTTTTTTCACTGCATTTTTTTCTCAATTTTATTCAAACTTTTTCTCAAATCCCGTAGCAGAAAAATTGTTGAATAATCCACAAAAAAAAAAATGAAAATAATTTTTTCTCCTTCACTTGACGGCTCCGCGCGCGCGACTTTACAAACAGCGACCCGCGCCAATTGACGTCGCAAACGAAAATGAGAAAAATTGGTGAAAATATTTTTTTTTGTTTTTCACTCGAAAGTCTCTCAAACTTGATCGTTGGTGAGAGAAAATGTTCTCAATTCTTGTGCGTCACGTGGCACGTGTGATATAAGCTGCATGTTGTGCTACACTTTTGTTTCGTGTGTCTTTCATTTTATTTTTGATCAGACTATGTTTTGGGGAAAATATTTTTAGATTCTATTTTTTTGTGAATTTTTTTCTTTCTTTTTCTACTAAAAATAAAATAATGAAAAATTTTATGCGAATTTAAGTTTGGCGAGTGTTGGTTTTTTGTCGGATTAAGTTTGATTCCTTGCGGTAATTTTTTTTTTATAACTATGAATGATTTTGAGGACATCAAAGCCTCATAGGATCTAGTTAATAGTCAAATGAACATTAATTTATTTGTGTGAAGGCAGCTGAACATTTATAACACTAGTGAGAAGTCACCTGAACTAGAAAAAGTTAATGTGAAGGCACCTGAACTGGTCAAGACTATTGTAAAGACACCTAAACTAGAACATACTAGTGTGAAGGCACTTACACTAGCAGAGATTAGTCTGAAGACACCTAAATTAGAAAACACTAGTGTGAAGATACTTACACTAGCAGAGATTAGTCTGAAGATACCTGAACTAGAAAACACTAGTGTGAAGATACCTGATCTAGAAAACACTAGTGTGAAGGCATATACACTAGCAGAGACTAGTCTGAAGACACCTAAATTAGAAAACACTAGTGTGAAGGCACTTACACTAGCAGAGATTAGTCTGAAGACACCTGAACTAGAAAACACTAGTGTGAAGACACCTGATCTAGAAAACACTATTGTGAAGGCACTTACACTAGCAGAGATTAGTCTGAAGACACCTGAACTAGAAAACACTAGTGTGAAGACACCTGATCTAGAAAACACTATTGTGAAGGCACCTGAACTGGAAAATACTAGTGTGAAGCACCTTAACAAGAAAATACTTTTGCAAAGGTACCTAAACTACAACTAAAAACAGGTAAAGTTACTTAAAGCACAAAAACCACTGTGAAGGCACCTAAACAAGTAAACACTAATATGTAGGGACCTGAACTTCTAAATCGCTATTGTGAATACACCTGAAACACACATTAAAGACACTCATAAAATATTAAAATCTACTCACAAACAAACAAAGCTTCCTTTCAGCGCCAACATTTCCTTATTTCTCCGATTCATAGGCGGTGATAACGACAATGACAAAAAGTCAGCTTGCTGTTGCTGCTGTTGTAATTCCAACTGCATCTTCTGCTTCTCAACAAACTTGTTATATCTTTCAAGTGTTCGACTAAATGTATCCGAATGTTCTCGTTTCAGAAGACTTGATATTGAAGCCGATGGTGAGTTGACGACTTTCTCAATCGGAACTGCTGGTGGTGAATATTGAGGAACTGATTTAAACTGTGGATACTCAAGTGCACTAACAATTGGCTTTATTGCACTTGGATCAGCACCAAAAGAATGTCGATTACTACTCAACATACTCGAGATTGTTGATGGAATCACCGACGATACAGTCGTTGCTGATGTCGTAACAATCGGTGTCCATGAGCTAAAACTCGCCAATGAACTACAGCTGAGCGTCGGCTTATATGGCGACGCAAGTGGCTGCTGAACGGTCTGATATGTCTCATAATTTGTAGTCGAATTTGGTAGCACCGTGAATGATAATGGACGTTCATTAAGTACATCTGTAGAGATTGAAGGTGTTGATTTGGCGAGTGATGCGGCTGATGCTGATGTCATTGTGATTCCGCTCAGCCTTCGTATCGAAATTGACGGAGTTGTTGAGGATGTTGACGAGGATGGCGATGTTGATAATGGAAGTGAGAATGATGGAAACTTAAAGGTACAATGATCACTGTGCGGACGTTGATAATTTTCTGTTCGACGCTCAGCTGCAAATGCTTCACGCTCAGCCGTGAAAGCTTCTCGCTCAGCTAAAAAAGTGTCTCGTTCAGACGGAAAAGTTTCCAGAACTTCTCGATCTGCTCCGATGACGTCACGCTCAGCTGCAAATATTTCACGCTCGGCACCAATCACATCGCGCTCAGGTGGAAAATAACTATCTTTTAAATTTGAACTTAAAAATGGCGGTGAAATGGAAGAGGATGCTGAGAATGGACCATAATCTGTGCCCGAGTCCGGCGACAATGATAAAGCCTTTGTGTGATTTAAAATTATGAAGCTCTTTGTTGACATTGATGACGATGTCGTTGATGTTGTTGTAGTTGTTGAGGAATTAAAATAATTTGTTTCAGCTAATGGCGAGAGTCGTATTGTCAATTCCTCTTGTTCACGCTCTTTTCGATTCCGTTCCTCCTCTTCCTTTTGCAACTGAATTTTTCGCTTGATATCTTCGAGAATTTTTGCTGTTTGCTCAACAACCAATGCAACTGGTAATGATGAGAATGTTGATATTGATGGCTGGACATCCTCAACAATTGAGTCGTCAACATCAACTGCAGTTGTTGTTGTTGTTGTAAGGGATGACGGTGCATCCGGTGGCGATAAATTCGTGATTGGTGATATTGGCGCCAGTTTGATAAATTTTCTTCAATTTTTGTCTCAACTAATTTCAGATATACTTGATGATGATGACAATGGTGGTGATGATGGTGATTTAAGGATATTCTCATGATCTAAAATGGACACAAAAAGGTTTTGGAGGTTATAAACTGCATTTGGAAACGAATTTTTCAAAGGTTGAGCTCATTCTGTTATTAAAATTATTTTGACATAGTGTGAAACCACCTGACTAGAAAAACAGTATTGTAAAGGCACCTGAAAGTATTGAAACTAGTGTGAATACACCTTAATATTTATTACATAGTGCGAAGCTACCTGAACGTTAAAAAATTTGTTTAGGGAAATCTAAGTATTTAAAACCATATTGTGAAGGCACCTGAATATCTTGGCATCGTGTGAAGGCACCTGATCATTTAAAAAATTGGTGTAAAGACATTTAAGGACTAAACTTCTAGTTTTAATAACATCTAAGCACTAAAATTCTTCCGTAAATGCACCTGAAGGATAAAGCTTCTATTGTGAAGGCACCTGAGACTCAAAAACATTAATACATACACACGTGTACCGAATTAAAATAATTCAGCCTCCACAAAGCAGTTCCGCTTACAAGTATTCACCCTGAAGGTCATATCAGCTCAAATAAAATCTTCCATGTGCTAATTTCATGTTTCACAGCCCAAATAGGCTTTATGAGCCCTCAAATGAGAGCTGTAAAAAGATCTCATATTAATTTTATTACCAAAATGTGTCGAATGTCTGCTTTTGTTCTTTTTCATTCTGTCTTGATGTCGTCACCCACGCGAGGTGGAAAAAAGTTCAAAAGAAGTTGAAAGCGAAGGAAAAGAATTTTTTTAAGGTTTGAAATTTAAGAAGCCGCAGAACTTTTTGCTATTTTAGGTAATTATTGTTTCATAAAGTACTGTGATTTGGTTTATTATGAATGAAGATTGAACATTTTGATGATTCAAGTTTATATTTTTTTAAATTTTTTATCTCAATTCTGGCAAACTTAACCCCAAATTTTTGTGATTTAACCTCAAATTTTATTTATGAGACTTCAAATTTGACTAATTTAACCTCAAATTTTGTGGCTTCACCTCACTTGTTTGAGATATTAACTTAAATTTTGCTGGCTTAACTACTAATTTTGTGACTTAACCTTAAATTTTGTAACTTAACCTCAAATTTTGTTAACTTAACCTCAAATTTTGCTGACTAAATCTCAAATTTTGTAACTTAACCTCAAATTTTGTTAACTTAACCTCAAATTTTTGTGATTTAAACTCAAATTTTGCTGACTTAAACACAAATTTTGTGACTTAACCTTAAATTTTATTTATGAGACTTCAAATTTGACTAATTTAACCTCAAATTTTGTGACTTCACCTCACTTGTTTGAGATATTAACTTAAATTTTGCTGGCTTAACTACTAATTTTGTGACTTAACCTTAAATTTTGTAACTTAACCTCAAATTTTGTTAACTTAACCTCAAATTTTGCTGACTTAAACACAAATTTTGTTACTTAACCTTAAATTTTGCTGACTAAATCTCAAATTTTGTAACTTAACCTCAAATTTTGTTAACTTAACCTCAAATTTTTGTGATTTAAACTCAAATTTTGCTACCTTAACCTCATATTTTCTAACCTAACCTCAAAAATTTTGTATTTAACCTCAAAATCATTCATCGTCCAGCATTAAAATTCCTGATTCATTAAAATCACTTTGAGTTAATTGCTTATCAATATTCATTTATGTCGATTACTTTAACATGAAAAATGGATTTTTTTTCTTCTATGCTTTTTTAACATTCATTCAATTTTTATTGGCAATTTGTGTTGATTTTCTTTCACATAAGAATTTTTATTAATTTTTTTTTAAAAAAAGAATAAGTTCACAGGAATGTGGGTCATGCATGGGATTGGCAGTTGCGGAAGTTGAATTTTTGATGAGTTATGATTTTAGAATTTTACCCCAAAAATGTCTGATTTGAGTCATGAATTTCTGTCAGAACTGATTTTCATCAAAGAACTTTTCGCATGGAAAATTTTCGTTACACAAAAAGCAGTTCCACTTCTTCTTTGTCCAGTTGACAAGTTGAGCTTTTAGGTAATCCACCTAAAAATAGCCAACGGTAGACAGCAAATCAAGAAGAAATATATTCTGAAAACTTAAATTAACCTCGCTAGTTGCACAATAACAAATCACTATGACTATAATGAACAATCAGACCGAGAAGTTTCTTTGTTGCACAATTATATTTCTCGATGCGCATTCTTTCATGAACTGTGTGGGTAAATTTACTTCAGCTGTTTATCCTCATTAAGATAATTATTCACTTGGAGATATTGAATATGATTGGAAAATGATTTCTAAATTGAATTTATATGAAAAATAAATTACTGTTGTGTAGGATTATGAACTGATGTTTTGTTCTTCGCAGTTTGCTAGCTGATTATAACTTTGTCTTGACCTAACCTCATTAACTACAATTCTAACCTCAAAACTTACAATTTTAATCTTAAAAACTTCAATTCTAACCTCAAAACTTACAATTTTTGCCTAAAAACTTCAATTCTAACCACAAAAACAAATTCCTAACCTAGAAACTTCAATTCTTACCTCGAAACTACAATCCTGGCCTCAAAACTATAATCCTTACCTCAAAATTATAATTCTTATGTTAAAACTAAACTCAAAATACCAACTTTAACCTCAAAACCATAATCCAACCTCGAAACTTCAATTTTAACCTCGAAACTACAATTCTAACCATAATATCACAATTTCAACCTCTAAACCACAACTCTAGCCTCAATCCTAACCTCAAAACCACAATCCTAACCTCAAAACTACAATCCTAACCTTTAAACTATGATCCTTACCTCAAAAATGTTGATAATTAAATTAAATTCAAACGAACTTTGAAATTTTGAATCTTAAACCCAAAAGCTTCAATTCTTAAACTTTATCACAAACTATTATTCTTTGAAGCTAAGCCAACATAACAGAAAATGCGCTTTGTCCACCTTCCTCAAAAATACCACCTTACTTGTTCAATTTTTTTTTCTTCTAATTTTCTCTAATTTGAAGTTATTAACAAGACAAAAATGAGCTCAATAGTAGGTAGAACTGTACATTACATGATACAGCCAATTACACTGGTTTACTAATGACTCATGAATACTTACTGTTCCATTTAAGCTCGAGAAAAATGACAAAAAAGGATTTTTCTTTTTACGCTTTATTTAGAAATATTTTTTTATTATTTAAACTTCGTCTTAGTGTAAGTCAAGAGAGTCTTTGTGACTCGTAAGTCATAGAAAAAGTCGTTTCGAGGGCAGGCGAAGTAAAAGTCGAAATGGTATCAAAAAGTTTTGATGAAAAAATGATTTTTTTTGCAGTAGAAAAAAAATTGAAAAATTTTTCTAATTCACTTTTTTTTACTAATTTTTTACAATTTTTTTTTTCTCTTAAATTTAATTTAATCACTGTCGAACTTTGAATCACTTTTAACGTCATGAACTGAATAAAAATTGTCCTATTCCTTAATTTACTTCCTTTTTTTTGCGAGCAGCGAAAAAAAATTTCCTATCGAGTAAAAAAAAAGTTTTTTTTTTGTTCTAATTGCAAATTATGTGCGCATGTGCGTAGATGGAAAAAGTTCGAAGAGACATGGCCAGTGCTGGTTTGTGCTTCTGCTCATTTTCGTCAAAGCTTTGTGTCCTCGTGAATCTTCTGAGTACGGATGTCGCTTGAATCAATTTACAAACAGCTGATTTCGAAGGAATCTGAAGTGGAATTCCGAAAATGGAATATGTTGAGGAATTTTACGATGAGTAAATGGAAATATTGCTGTTGTAAAATGAAGGAAAAACCGTTTGTTTTGATAGAAAAAAATGCGACACAGATTTTCTTTTTTTTTGTGTGGAAAGTTTATTGAGTCGTCTTATCACGTGGATGTGTTTGTGTGTTTGTGATGTTTTGGTTTGTTGAAAATGCTTTGAATTTTTTCGGAACGTTAAGGATGTCCTTTTGCTATTTTTAAATCTATCTTGTGTTGAATTGCTTCTTTAAACTTTTAAGTCGTTGCTTCTACAGCATTCCCTCAGCATTAAGTCGTTGCTTCTACAACATTAACTGAGCATTAAGTTTCTGCTTCTACAGCCTTGACTCAGCATTAAGTCGTTGCTTCTACAGCATTCTTTCAGTTTTAAGTGGTTTGCTATGAAGCATTGACTCAATCTTAAGTCGTTGCTTTAAAGCGTTGCCTCAGTATTAAGCGGTTACTTTGAAGCAATTACTTAATATGAAGTCGTTGTTTTAAAGCATTGACTTAATATTAAGGTATTGCTGTAAAGCGTTGTTTCAGTTCTAAGTCGTTGCTTTAAAGCTTAAAAATAAAGCTTTAAAGCTTAAGACTCCAAATCTTAAAAATCATTCAACTAATTTTAAATATTCAATTTCAAACAATTTTTATTTACTTCAAAAAAACCAGCAAAAAAAATTCTAAAACTGTAAAAAATTTCCAGCGGAAGTAGAACAATGCAGTAAAACAAACTAAATTCATTTACTCTAATGCATGCACACACACACACACACACAAGTTTCATTTCTATTCCTCGGTTGCAAAACTTTTTCGTCAACTTTGTTGGTATTTTCATTGTTTTATTTTAGGCAAAATTTACTGTACTGTTAGCAGCACCAAAAAAGTGGAACATTCGTTAGATTTCCTTTGTTTTTGTTAGACAAATTTGCATAAACGTCATTGCCAGAGCTTTTTCAGATGATGAGCAAAAACTGTCGGAATGGTAGATTACATTCTGTATGCTGAATATGTATGAAGAAATATTTGGATAGTATTAATTGTTTTACAACGTATGAGGTATGATAATGGATGACTCAATGGCTTTGCTGCCATATTTTTTGAGGTTATGTCTTAAAATTTTAGGTTAAGTCATAAATTTTAAGGTTAAGTCATAATATTTTAGGTTAAATTGCAGAGTTTAAGGTTAAGTCACAAAGTTTGAGGTCACGTTACAATATTTTGAGGTTAAGACACAAAGTTTGAGTTTAAGTCACAAAGTTTGAGGTCACGTGATAAGATTTTGAGGTTAAGACACAAAAATTGAGGTTAAGTCAAAAAGTTTGAGGTTAAAACACAAAGTTTGAGGTTAAGTCACAAAGTTTGAGGTTAAGTCACAAAGTTTGAGGTCACGTGATAAGATTTTGAGGTTAAGACACAAAAATTGAGGTTAAGTCACAAAGTTTGAGGTTAAAACACAAAGTTTGAGGTTAAGTCACAAAGTTTGAGGTTATGTCACAAAGTTTGAGGTCACGTGATAAGATTTTGAGGTTAAGACACAAAATTTGAGGTTAAGTCACAAAGTTTAAGGTTAAGTCACAAAGTTTGAGGTTAAAATCCTGAAAAATGACAAACAAAAACACAAAAAAAAAATTTTATTGTTAACACATTCACTTTTATTTTCATTTAATTTTTTTTATGCTATAACATTTTCATTTTATTACAAAAAGATTTTTCTCATACTTTTTTTTAATTTTAATATTTTTTACTTTTTTTATGGGATAACAACGGAGATAAATTTACTATAATTATTTTTAAAAAAAATCTCGTTTATTTTCTTCACGTTTTTCTTTAAAATTTACAATGGAAGAATTTTTCAATTATTTTTCTAGATTTCTTTTTAAATATTTTTTGTTGCACGAAAAATACATTTTCTTAATAAAATCTACAATTACAAAAAAGTTATGCCTAGAGATATGTGGAAGCTCTTTGTGCTGCTTTTTTTATTATTTTATTAATGCACAAAGAACTTCCTTTCCTAGGTAAAATGCATAAGAATCATGTTTCGTTAATTTTTTTCATTCAGTTTTATTTTCTGAATTTTCAATTTCCTTTTAAACTTTTTTTATTTTAAACTTTTTTTTTCTTTATATTGTTTTTCTCACTTTTCTCTACTTTATTGGCAATTTTTGTTTTTATTTTTCTGTAGTTTTCGATTTTGCAAAAAATAAGAGGCAGTTCACGAAGTTTTGTTTCTGCAGGAGTGGTCAACCGTCTTACCACGTCACACCAGGTAGCCAAAGGAGGTAATTTAATGTGCTATTAACGTTTTTTAAAGGTTAAAGTATTTTGTTGCTCGTAAATGGATGACAAAAAATTTTCAAAAGCAGTGATGGCCAACCTATTTGACGCGGCACTAGTGTGCTGTGAAAATATTTTAGCAGTCCCACAAATCGTGTGCGGTTTCGGTCATGGATTACCACTGAGGTGTGCCGTGGCGCAAAAAAAGGTTGTCCACCACTGTTAAAGTATAGATTTATTTTTTATTCTAAAATATTAAGTTAAAAAAATTAAAAAATGAGTAAAAAGATTCAATTTTGATTAACATTCTTCCAATATTTTATTTAAAATTCCTTTCAATTTTTATTTAATTTTTCAAATTTCTCTCACAATTTTTTCTCATTTAAATGCAAAAATTTCCTCGACAACTAAAACAACTCATAATTTCTAATTAGCGAGTAAAATGTTGAAAAATGTCTTTATTGATAGAATTAAATAACAGTGAGTTGAATTCAATTAAAATTCTTAATTTATTCATTAAAATGTGAAAATGAATTTTTTTTTTTTTATTTTTCAACTTCCACGCTCATTTTTTTATCATTTTGTATAAATTTTGTTATTTTATTGACTTACACATTAAATTTTACAAATACAAATTCAACAACGATTACATTTACAAACATTTTATTTTACTTTATAAACATTTTCATCTAATTTTGCCTTCCTTTTTCCTTTTTTGTATATAAATAGCATTCTTGTCTATATTTCAACTTTTCTCGCGCTTTAATTGTCAATATGTTAATTTTATTTCTTTCCCTCTTTCCGCTTTTCATGCTTAATAATTCAATTCAACACTTTTTTTGCTGCTGATGTTTTTCGTGTGATTATTGTGAAGTTTTTTTAAAAAATTTTGAGGTTATTTTCATTAATTTTGAGGTTTTTTTTATCAATTTGAAATTAAATCATAAAGAACTTATGCTAAATTCACAAATTTTGAGTTTAAATTAATAAAATTTGAGGTTAAGTCACAAAATTTTGAGGTTAGATCCCCAAATTTTCAGGTTAGGTCCAAAGTTAAGTCACAAACTATCAAGTTAAAATCACAAATTTTGTTGTTATTTTACTAAAATTTTAGATTAGGTCAATAAGTTTCGAAGTTAAGTAAGGAAATTTGAGGTTAAGTTACAAAAGTTTGAGGTAAGCTCCATTAATATTGAGACTATTTTTCACTCAAAGTTTTATTTCTCTATCAATTTTGTTCCATAACATCCCTAAAAACAAGATTTT